GATGTCTTGTGATGTTCATCTCAATGTTGTGTGCAACAGTTACTGCTGATGCTGAAGATATTCTCGTGTCAGTGTGTCCTTGGGGTGTTTATTTCACTATTTTGAATTCAGTTTATATTCATTCATGTGTTTTTGTGCTCCAGATTCAGAAAGTGGTTGTTGCCCTCGGTGACTATCTTGGAGCCAAGTGTCATGCCTGCATTGGTGGCACAAACGTCCGTGACGACATTCGCAAACTGGAAGACGGCATCCACGTGGTCGTGGGGACACCAGGACGTGTGTTTGACATGATTAACAGGCGTGTTCTCAGTAAGTAGTTGCTTTGTAGTTTTACAATAGCTGTGAAATGATGTGAAGGAGTTCTCTGTGAAACTCAATATTTGTGTTTAAAATTAGAATTGGCAGTGATAAATATTAGTAAAGATGTTTAACATTCAAAAGGCTCAGATTTTCTAAAATTGCCCGTTGAAAGAACTTGGAATATGGTTGAGCAGTGGTTGATTATTTCTTCTGTTTGTAGATTGTAAACACATCCAGATGTTCGTTCTGGACGAGGCCGACGAGATGTTGTCCCGAGGATTCAAGGATCAAATCTACGACGTTTTCCAGTACATGAATGCCAACACCCAGGTCAGTCCTTCACACCCTCACTCACTCATAAGTGAGGTAGACAAGTCAGTTAATGGTGGGCTGCTAACTACAGATGTTTGGTGCTTGTAGGGGTTCGAAGATGTGTAAGCATCGGTTCAAAATCATTTAGCTTTTTGGGGTGAAACTTACTTTTTCAAACACAAAAATGTACATTGCGAAAAAATATGAAATACAACTCAAGTGACCAAGTATATCCAGGCAGTGTCTGGGCACAACAGTTACAATGTCTTATGCCTGATGCAGACATGTTTATGCCATACGGGTCATAATAAGACCAACTCTATAGATGGAACCTAGTTTGTAAGTGTACTATGGCTCCTGTCAACTTGCATTAAATAACCTTGGTCATCTCATCCGAAAGTCCATACGTTCCATCCTGATTGTCAGTGTTGGTGTTGTAGGTGGTGCTGCTGTCTGCCACGATGCCGGTGGAGGTGCTGGAGGTGACACAGCGGTTCATGAGGTCTCCAATCAGGATCTTGGTGAAGAAAGAGGAACTCACCTTGGAGGGTATTAAACAGTTCTACATCTCTGTAGAGAGAGAGGTGAGGCCTAGTTTTGTATAATCTGATCTCCATCCACTAGTATGATGTACATGCTGTTAGAAAATAATATGGTGGCTTTGTCAATTCTGATAGTTAACATTTCCTAGCTATGCATAAAACTCAACTTCATATGTCACCCACAGGAATATGACTAATTTCTTTCGTACTTGATCACCAATAACTGCTTTTCTGTAGTAAGTGGAGTAAACATCACTTGGTCTGGCGATCGAGTGTCGATTTCTAAATCTCAATCATCACTGTTGCATAATGTATTCCTGGTCATGGTTGCAATGATGAAGACTCTTCCACTATTCGCAGTTTCCACAGAGAGGTCCGAACCTCGAAGATGTCAATATCCTTCCTTGGATGTCTGAGCAACCTGTACTCAAATATGACTTGTAATGTAAGTTTGGTTTCTCAACATCCCAGGTTGTAGTTCTTATGAATCCTTGTTTGTTTCTCAGGAATGGAAACTGGACACCCTTTGTGATCTGTACGAGACCCTGACCATCACACAGGCCGTCATATTCTGCAATACTCGGAGGAAAGTCGACTGGCTCACGGAGAAAATGATGTCCAGAGACTTCACAGTATCTGCCTTGGTGAGTGGATTGGGTGGTTCTCAGTGACAGGATCTTTGTATCATTTTAAAAAAAATTAACTTGTACTTGACAGAGAACAGTTGCAATGATGAAGACTCTTCCACTATTCGCAGTTTCCACAGAGAGGTCCGAACCTCAAAGATGTCAATATCCTTCCTTGGATGTCTGAGCAACTGTTACATCAACTTTATTTCTTAAAATTTTCATGATCACACCACTAATCATTGGTGGGGATATATTCTTGAGACAAATGACCTTAGGGTGGATATTCTATAACCATTCCATGATTGTATGAGGGTTTTTTGGGGTGGGGGTTGTTAAAGAAAATTTTGTAACATTTGGATAATTTTACCAGGAACCAGAAGTATGAAGTCCTCTGAAAGACTTGGATGGATGATGTGTTTCTTGGATAGAATGCACTTTTGAAATATTCTAATACGTATGTGATAGAAATATTCTGGACCATCTGTATGTAATACAAGGGTGAAGGGTTGTCATGATGTGTCGGAGGATGCCACCTCAAGAATCGTGAAACAACTTATACAGGTTAAGCACATTATACAGGTTAATAACAGGTTGGAAAGGTGGTACCCTAACTATATGGAACTTGTAAAACGTCAGGACTGTTTGTGATAGAACTATCATGACCCGTGTGTTTCATGGTGTGGTTTTTCATTTTCTGTCTCAACACTGCAGTAAAACGTCCTCTGCTCTGTTTCAGCATGGCGACCTGGATCAGAAGGAACGTGATGTCATTATGCGGGAGTTCCGCACAGGATCAAGCCGAGTGCTGATCACCACCGACTTGCTTGCCAGGGGCATTGATGTCCAGCAAGTGTCGCTCGTCATAAACTATGATCTGCCCGCCAACAGAGAAAACTACATTCATAGGTGAGTACATCTCGCTTAAACCTGGCTGTGGTTTTGCTGTTTTCATCTCTTCTGAAAAGTTTAGATGGAACATTATATTCATGATCACAGTAAAACGGTCTCTTTATTATGATGATATCTGATGTGATCTCGAGGATGTTGATAAAGTGTTATATTTTTTCAGCCACACAACTAGGGCTCGTTTGTATTTGTTTAGTGAGAGATGAATATTTCTGCATGTAACTGTCGGGTATCATGTTTTGGCTCCATTTGAAATTGCTCTGCCTTCTACATCATACTTTTCTGTAGGGGTTTAAATAATAAGATAACATTCAGACATGATAGATCTTTAAAAAAAATTCTATCACCCACACATTCCCGATACCAAAATGCAATGATTTCTCTTTATTCCCTCAGAATTGGACGAGGTGGACGATTTGGCCGAAAGGGGGTGGCCATTAACTTTGTGACAGAAGCTGATACCCGCACAATGCGGGACATCGAAACCTTCTACAACACGCAGGTTGAAGAGATGCCTATGAATGTTGCTGACCTTATTTAATTTAAGCCAAATCTAGGTTTTTCTTCACTGGTTCCGGCTGAAAAACAGGAACTAGTCACAAGGATTCTGTTTGAAAAAAATCTAAAATTGACTTAATGCATTCATTAGCTCTTATGTAATGTTTATTGTTTTCTCATGCTGACTGTCTGCAAATATGGTCACATGAGGTTATCAGCTGTCTGAAGCATCAGCCATGTTTATACCAACTAAATTATGCCTAATTATTAGCAGCACTCATTATTTTTATTACCAAATTGTTTCCTTTGTTGAGCATGTAAAAAGGCACCACAGTATCATATTTTGATATTGTGCAATACCAAGCATCTTTAAATTTTTAAAAATTACAAAAAAATAGCAATTGTCATTTGAAAAAAAATGTAAGTGAAAAAAATTCCTGTACAGAAGTTGAAATGTATCATTTTGTGTTGTTCGTCGTCCATTGCTCTGTGGTACGCGTCAAAGCCTACCTTCCTACCACCACTCATAGGGGCAGGCGGCTCATGTTGGTCCGCGCGGGATCGGGATTATCACTGTTCCAAGAAACGCGGCAAAAACATACTAGATGTATTAAAGTCATGTATTGATAATGTTGGTGTTCATTGTTTTACTTGGCAGTCTGAAGTCGGGAGAAACCAGGCAACATGGGGTCAAGTTTATCCACACACACCTGGGCTTGTGAATTTTATTAAAGTTGTCCGCACACATTAATCTGACAATGTCGTGGTTGAACTTATATCCTGATCAAAGCAAAAGCTGTAAATGTCCTCATCACTAAAGATTTAACTGATTGAAAATATGGCAGGATGAGTGTGAAATTTGTACTTGCCCTGCCCATTTCATAACGTCGGTCTCATCTTTCCTTCTTTTAAAGCACACATGGTATTTTATAACTAAATATGTCTCAAACTAAATTTGTAGTCTGGTGAAATGGGAACTGCCTTGAAAGTTTGTTGTGATTTGGACACTAATTTGGGGCTATAGGAGATAATTGGGGGTTTTAATTCTTTTAGCAACATGCATGAGGATATTAAAATTGTTAGCAATTCTCAATGGATGGTTCATGAATCGCTTTGCTCGTAGGTCAGGATTTAGGTTTTTCAGACAGTTTCTGAATCATCATTACTCTACACCCATGAAAGTGTACCTTTCCGCCATACACCTAATGTCTTCCGAAAGTCGATGTCATCTTTTAGGTCATTTTGACGTGTGGTTCATAACTTACCAGCTATTGTGTTTGCACAGTATTAGACTTGATAATTGATGGATGTTACTAAGATTTTGACAGTTGTGTCAAAGCATGTTTGCGATAAGTCCCCAAAATGACACTTTTGTTGTAAACCACAAGCAGAGGTTTTTGATACTTTAGGGATGTTCCAGAAATGTTGCAGCTAGTGGCATAGAAATGGGCACCACACATTGTACGTACCCATATGGTACAAAGTCTTCTTTAACCACCTTTTATGGGAAGTAATTATGATTGCATCGGAGGTTTGAAGAAACATTGCAAAGAGTTGCTTCTGTTTTTGCAAATACAACAATGTCCACAAGAAGTGTTGCTAAGCAGACAAGACGTATTTGCTCCAGTAAGCGAGGGATGCTCTCTGGTGTGATGACTTGCCCATACATTGTCTGGATTCAATTTTTCCAGTGGACTGACAACTGTTTTCAATGACAACACTTTGGCATACCAGTGTCACTTCAGGGCCTTGAAAGCACTTGAACCTCATCTGGGAGAGCTATGGTGGCTGGTACACAAATAACACAAGTCAGTTTTTGTGATAAGGGATTTTCACTTTATTGTTTTCTTTCAAAAATAAGAAGTTGTACCTATCACATGTAAGTTTCACGCAGACACTAGGAAGAAAGATTGAGATAAGACAAAATATCTGTAAGGTTATATTGGCAATTGTGCTCCATGTAATATTTGATTTATACTCATTTTTTCCCTGACCTCAAGGTCCAGGGAAAAGTTCAGTAATACAAATGTTTTTCTCTTATTTAAGCTCTTGTGACTACACTCCCACTAAGAGGTTTGAGTGAGTGTGCATTTGTGGTTTGATCACATTTCACATGGCCATCCCTTGAGTTGACTAATGCATTTTCCAAAATACCCTTCAACAATTACAGTTGTCAGGAGAATAGTGTTGAACAGATTTTTGACTGATAAAGCATGTACACTGAGACTCCAAATTCCTGAGGAAGCAAATATAGTCCCTTGGTCACTAATCCCTCTAAAACGAATTCAATGGAGGCACAGCAACTGGAATGTAAGAAGTCCTCAAGGGAGACAACTCTTTTTGGCTAACATTTCCTAACCTCTCTAATTCATGTTTCCTCTTGCATTTGATTTTAGAATATTAGCCAAGAAAAGCTGTTTTCCCCCCTATGTTGGAAGATTAAGTCACAGAGTGTTGGTAATACGTTCGTTGGTAGGTAGATAGTTACTAGAATTTCACAGCAATAACAAAAAAAGATACATTAACATGAAGACGAGTGTCCAAAATTTGGGATGTTTTTGTGGGGGAGAGGGGGAGAACTTTGTGAAAGTGAACATGTAGATATTTTTCATTTTGTTGATTGTATCTTGTGAACATCAATATGGAATTTCATCAAGCACATGAAACAATATGTGACAGCTAAAAGAATATAAAAATATAAAAGACATTAGAAAATTTGATATGAAATGTTACAGTGTGATGATGAACAGCTGTCTAAAGTGAGTTGTAACACTTGTCCATGTTTGGGGCCAATGGTCACACATCTGGGGCCCAAAGCATGGACATATATCACAAGATATTTGTACCCCTACAGTGAAAGATGTATACTGTAAGGCACACCAACAGTCCACAAACACTAACAAGGTTAAAGCTGTATTTTCTGAAGTAATGGCCAGTAGCATTGTTTATCTCACCTGAAGCTTCTCACTATGAGACCTAAATCTGCATTTCACATTTTCTTATTTCTAATATTCAAAGATTGTATAACATTTTCTTCTTCCAAAAATATTTCAGTATTAAGTAACATTACTATAGGACAGAGAAATAGACAATTTTTACCACACTGCTTTGACATTTACTCTTTAAGTTACAAAGAGATTTTTTTCTAATAAGGTGTACATTATTTAGAAAATATATTCAGAGGGGACAATTTCTAAAACATCTAAAAGCTGGTGAAAATGTCTAGTGTGAAGCCATTTAACATTTTGACATGGGCAGTATAAAAAACAACATTGGCAGACAATATGGAAGCAGAGGAAACACTAGTTACCATAGGAACACTGATGCATCATGGGATGCGTCACAAGGTGATATCACAGAAGATAACCCTGACTTCCACTGACAAAATGTTCCAGAATTCTCTTCCCAGTCTCCAGGAAACCACTATGTAGAAACTTCTCACCCAATCAAACAACAGCTCCAACTTCATTGCAAATAAGTGGTAATACCTTTCCATATCACTCCTAGATTTTCAGATTAACTTCTCTTAATTTTAAGCCATACCACTTACACACAAGTCCCAACTTAGAACTATTTTATTGAAACTGTCAGTAACTCTTTGACATTGCGCCCTGCTATTGGTCCCAACCCTAGCTTCCTGGAATGGAGAGTTCAATACTAGGACCAGTTTGTCCCTGGTGCCAAGGACGAGTAGTGTGTTGATTCTCGAGGATCAAGAAGACAGTATCACGCTGGGCAATCTTAATGGAAACTGAAATTCTTTCTATTGCAATTTCAAAACTTAAATTGTTTGGCTATTTTGCAAATTTCTATTTCATTCACAAGTCAAAGGTTTAAAAAAACAAAGTCAGGTCCAATAAATTAGTACATAAAAAGTACTTCTTCAAACAGCCAAGACTACAAATACCTCTGTAGTTCATGAGCTTCACACTGTACAGTCTATCAAAACTGCAGGTTGGAAAGTTCTCTTCAGTCACTAGTGGGTTGAAGATGGCACATTGTCGTGAGAGACCGTAGTAAATGAAATTTAATTATCAAAGCATATGAGGCACTTGGGATCAGGGCAATGGAAAAACCAAAACAATATTTTTTAAACTAGGTCTCGGTCTACAAAACGTTTGTAGCACTAGGAACTTCATTTCACCATAGTTTAAATCATTTCACAGCACTACAGACACTTCGTGGGTTGGTCCTTGCAGTAAGTAACGGAATAATGATCTATGGGAAACATCGAGACCGCTCTTTAATCTTCGAATAACCCAACACTTCACGAATCGAGAATATTAGGCTAACAGTGGTTTGAAATCTCACACAAAAGTCAACTATAAAGTTACCCTCAGCAATACTGCCTTCTCAAGAACATCAAGTTCAAAAGATTCAAGCCATGCAAAAATAGAGTTCTATACATCAGAAAATATATACACTTGATGCCCATCGTGGGCTATAGTGAAGAAAGAGCCAGTTCACCTTACAAAACTGTTTCGATAATGTGTCAATTCATTTCATGTTATTTGGCACCAGATGATAATTGTTAATCTTACTATCAGTGTCTCAAAGGGTTTCAGAGTGATAGTAATAATATTTCAATGCATTATTGACAATTTACCGAGTCAGCTCTGGAAAACAAACTGGTTTGTAATAAATAATCGTGCCATTTGAATCCTTGCTCATCTGTCCTGTCAAGTATAGTCATCTCATCATCACAATAAACCCTGTGATTTTCCACCAGCTGAAGTTGAATGATGTTTTAATTATAAATGTTTGTGTTGGTTAAACTGTAAACTAGCTCCCGTTATACTCTTGTACAAGGTAGATCAATCAACACACTGGTTCTCTTAGGATCTCTTAGTTACATGTGAACATACTACCCTGATACAGATTCTCTCTTTGTGTTAGTAAAACTGTGAATTATTTTTATTTTATGTAAGGAAAACTGAAATATTTCTATTCTGATACAATTCTGAAACAAAACACTTTTAATCCTCTAGTCTTAACAATGTATCACTTCTTGACAAAATATTGTTTTACTCACTTTCATTCAAGTCAAGAAATCAGATAAGACAGCTGTGTCTCCAACTTCCAGTTAGGGCCCTTCCAGCAATCTAGCCAAGTAGACTATCATAACAATTGTAATTACTGCCTTATTGAGAAGGTGCCATTTCGTCATCAAAAAATGTCTTCAATAATTTATATAAATGTACAAGAAATACATTTAATAAAGAACAAATTTTGAAATGTTCAAAGAAAAACATCATCCAGCTTCACACAGCATATCTTCTTAACAGTTACTTGTATAAAAACAGCTAGATAGTATCAAATATCAGCAATATAGAAAATGTGTGTGTTTGCACAAAAAGTCACCATTAAGATATGACGGTATTCGAAGGTACAAAACGTGGAAAATATATACAAAACTTTGAAGATGCTATCGTGATGAGTCCTCAGACTCGAAAATGTAGTATGAAAACTGTAACAGTTACAACATGTACGGCGTACAAGCCGTTTTATACCAACAACTTCAACATCCAATACAGGGTAGTGTACAACAAAAATAACCACAATCATAATTACATAACACTTATCTAATGGGAGGGAGCCCACGTAGATTGCACCGTCTTGAAAACAAATGAATATACATGTGGTAGCCAATGTTCCACAGTCATAGAGCTCAGTCTGAACACAACACACCTCAAACACTGTCTACATGTTGAACATTCTTTCTATAAAATGGCATATCAAAATGTTGAAACTAGTAATATGTATCAAATCTAGAAAATAGAACATGTTGAAATCTACAAATTGAAACAGGTTGAATCTGAAAGCTAAACTTCTTCCTAGACAAGAGACACGTCCAATGTAGTATCTAGAAATCAGGTACATCCTCTTTAGAGCCTGGAACGTCTTGCAAGAAATGCAACTGTGCTACATAAAATGCTGTGTTACATTGTAAATAAAATGTCACAAACGAAACCTGAAATAAAGAATGCTAGTTCAGAAATCTGAGTAGTTCCAGGCAGTCTTGAAGGACAAGAAACGGGAGGAACATAAGAGCACATCAGGGCACAGGGACTAGATTCTTCGTTGACATTTTGTCAAGTAGAATTTCGCTAGGTTGAAACTGTCCATTAAGATACCAATCTGACCAGTATATGCATCTCAAAAGAAATGAAAAAATACCTAATTATATAGTTAATCTGTCATGGTACATAATATGCTCTTCTTTATCAAAATGTATCAATTGATTTCGAAATTGGGGTGTCCTTATATTTGTACTCATCAACTATTCAACTCTATCACGTGTCTGTTTGATGTCTAGCTATACCATAAATCATTGATTTGATTGATTTTGGAAATTAAAAAAACTCTGGTTTATACAAAGAATCCAGGTATGGTTTCAGTATATCATTTCAGCAGCACGTGTTCTGACTAAAATGTCAAAAAGTACCCCATAAATCTGACCTGTGTTAATCTACATTAAAGTTAGCTTGTGTTTGAACTGAACTATAACCTGCATTTAAAAATATTTGAAACCTGACATCAACTGAGCTCACATCTAGAGGAAACAAAGTCTGACTTAATGACGCGATGAAGGAAATGATTACTCTTCATCTGATAATTCCATAACTACATGTGGTTATCATATGAGATTCATACCAGCCAGGAACATAGTACCTCGTTCCAGACAGCAATATTAGTGCAAAGACCATTTTAACCAACACACCTCAACACTGACACATAATCATTGGAATCGAAAGTCTTTAGCGGAAAAGGACCAGTATGTCCCTTTCCCACGATGATCTTAGCGCTAAGACCATCATCACTCCTACACATTATCACTGCCATTATTGTTGGAGTCACAAGATCATTTCGTGGAATAAGGACCAGAGTGTCCACAGTAATCTTAGCGCTAAAATCGCCACTCTCATAACTTAACATAGCCATACAATAATAATATTACTACGATGATCGTAACATCCATACCCAAACATAAATATAGGGTTCAGAGTAGCGCTAAGACGATGCATACTCCCATACCTAACACAAACCTACAATGCTCAAATCATTATCTGGAGTATAAGGTCAAGGCCAGGGATCTGTTCAACAGCACTATCGGAAGTCAATGTTAATGGATGGGAGTTACGACTGTCTTAGAGCTAAATTCATTTCGTAAACATGGGCCTATGTTGGCTCTTTGGTCATACAGAGACTTTCATACAGACCGGCTGTACAATACGAAACTCTCGCTACACCTAAACAATACAAAATATACAAAATAGGAATGAAAGATACGTTCAATGCTATCTTACAAATAAAATATAAGACGAATGTTCCTGTTTGAAAACATTTGTATCTTGGCAGAATAAATAACTTAAAGCCATTTAGAACATATAGAAAGTGAAAACAATCTAAACCACTTTTCACACTCTCTGCAATGAATCACTTGAAACATTTGTACTGAAACGTCACGCCAGTAACATGCTTATCATAAGTACAAAATATAAACTTTTGCCTCTGAATTGAAAACATAACAGTCTTTCGGACATCATTTTTTTGTGAAAAGGATAAATTATAGATAAATAGATAAACCAATACTGGGTAGGCATGTTATGTATTTGATTGTGGTGACAGTGCCACTGAAGGGGGCAGGCTAGCTGCAAGTTGTATAACCATGGAAAAACAAGTTTATATGGCCCTATTATGAAGGCTTTATGAAAGCAATGATGCACAGAAGGGAAATAACATTCCCTCAATAACACAAATATCAGCATAAACAAAATTATAACAGCACTATGTTCTATACTCTTGCCTTGTCAGTACAGCAAGATAGGAGGGAGTTTGTACAATATGTTAAAACAAAAAACCGAAACATTTTCCAGCTTACCTATTAAATAAATACATACCAATTTAATGAAAATGATGGTCACATGATGGTGGAATAAACCATTTTTTCAGATATTAATTAAATTAATAAAATTAATTTTTCAAGAACAACAGTTCAGCTTCCAGTGTCTGAAAATGTTTTCTCAGGTCGATTTCCCTATTGAATTCCTTGTGTAACGACAAGCGAATGACCTCACCATAGTAACAGAGGATGGCAGGTGACCCGGACAATACACACATGCGTGAAATTGTGTCGACAAGCTTTCACCTTGCACGAACAAAACAGTAATGCAGTTAGGAACAGTTCCTGGAAATATAACACTGAAACATAGCTGTGGTCCCAGGTGTTATCACGTAACAATGTCATACATCGTCACACCAACATCGACGATGTCCGATGACGTCATCGGATGTCATCTCACCCTGTCACCCAGATGGTCCATGTCATCAGGTCGAGTGATCCTGATGCAGCACTGCAGTCAGTCCCACAGAGCAGCTTCAGCAGCGACGCCACTGTCAGTAGGACATCGCAGCATCGGCTGCAGCGGCAGCTAAATGTCAGGAGGTGGAGGTCTTCTCAGCTCGCTCCAGCGCCAGCTCTCTGTTCAGCAGCTCCTTGATGCCTTGCTGGATTCTCTTCAAGTGTCCCACCTTCGTCACCCCGAGGTCCTGGACACGTTAATAATGGTCACTGGTTAAAGCATGTAACTATTCCCAAGACAGTTATTTTGGAAACCCATATTAATTCTAAATGTCCAAGTGAATGTCTGTGTGTATGTTACTACACTTGGTTCAGATATTGACAAGCTCTCCTCATTCACACAGTATTATAGAGGCACATTGGCTTATCATTCTTTGTCTTTCACACAATTTGTTGTGTCTGTAAATAATCGAATCTGGACAAGACAATTCAGGGATAAACGATACGAACATCGATATATGCTTCTTACGTCCTTGCCCAGAACCTGTGAAGATCCAGTTAGAATTGGTCTTCAGTAACCCATGCTGACTTAAGTAACACATGTCATTGTATCCCAATTGAGTACAATGATGTTCATGCTGTTGATCACTGGATTGTCTGGTCCAGACTCGATTATTTACAGACCGCTATCATATAACTGGAAAGTTGCTGAATGTGACATTAAACAACAAACTACCTAGTCACAAGACAGTACAATGTAATAAACATGATACTGACCTTGAGATCTCTCCGCTCCAAGTTGAGGAGCTCCGACCCGCGGATCTCATGGCTGATGAAGGAGTCTCGGTACTCCCCTAGTGAGAGTTTCTCCAGCCAGACTCCGACTTCCTCAGGGGTCCAGCCTCGAACCTCAAACCCTGGGGACAAATACACACCATCAGCCCGCAGGAAAATATTTATTACTTTCTCTTCCTCATCTGCTTCACTACCAAACCCTGGGGAAAATACACACTGTCAGCCCACAATAAAATATTTTACTTTTTCATACCCACCTGCAATACTACTGACTACAACTAGTATTATTTCATCATCCCACGTGATCTTATTATATAATACTTGCTAGAGCTGACAAGAATGCAAATAAACAGTTTATAATGTGTTCATATATCTCAACAACACTATATATTTATACATGAACGGCATTTGTTCCTTACAAATTTTCACACAGATTTCATCAGACGTTCTAAAACCTTGATCATAAATGTTACCACTTGGAAAGATCAAAGGATGATGTCAATCAATTAATCGATTCCTTTTTTACACATGTGTGTCCTGTTTATGACTGAGGATGAATATGATTATACATCAGGCAAATATTATACTGAAAAAGACCAAGATTATTTACTAGAATTGTGTTGACTACACAAATATTTTACCATGCACATCTCAGAATAATATATACTAATGATTTCTCCGGGTGCAGACAAAGAAAATCACAATATATACCACCAAAACATGCTAAAGAAAACCTTAGTCTTTCATATTACTGTAGTCTAACCACAGTGATGTGAAAGAATCAAAGCATCTTTGGAGTTTTGAATGTTTGCACGTGATTCCTGCTTCACAAAACCACATACAAAGACAAATAAAAAACCCAACAAAAACAAAAAATACAATGAAGTCTGACTGATACTTTCAAGAGAACAGGATTCAGTGTCAACATCATGACCCCATTCATCACAACAAGCAACATCACAATGTTCTATGGTTAAGGATAATTTAGGTGAGGTGAGGTGAAATTGGGTTTAACATCGTGCTTGAGAATATTTCGCTCATATGACGACGTGCATGCGTGTGTATGTGTATGTGCGGCTGCTTGTACTAGCCCAGACTGAAGCTGGTTGTATAGTGCTAGCCCACTGAGATACCATGCCGCAGTGAAATATGAATACCCCACTCAGACACATTATACTGTGCCAGGCAGACAGGGACTAACAAGTACCATATTTTAACGTCTTTTGGTATGACACGGACGGGGATCGAACCCGCGACCTTCCGCTCTCCGGGCGGACGCTCTAACCACTACAACACGGAGGCGGTCGGAGACTAAAGGATGCCAAATGGTGCCGCTCACTGTTGATTGGATAACAGGCATGTGTCATGTTTCGGCATCAACGCGGCATGTTGAGTCATGAGGCAAGAAAGGTCTGTTCTCGATCAGTTATCTTCAATTATCCGGGAACATCATATCACCATTTTATCAGTCATGTTGAAATTAGTGGGTTACTAGGGTCCTCGAGATTCGATGACTTAGTTTTCAAATTTAGCCACTCCTAATATGTTTCACAATAATATTAGGACACAGGTCACTTAAATGTCAAGATAAATTTCAAACAATGATATGAGTAATGCCCTGAACCCATTTTCTTCCATAGCTTTGTTAGGGAAGCAGCATCATAACGCATCTTCAGTTACTCTCCCATACAAGTGAGTGGAAGCATCTTTCTGACTCGAAATAAAGCAACAGAAAGTGAGAGAGACAATAACTTTTAGCAATATTCCAGCAATATCAAGGCGGCAGACACCAGAAATGGGCTTCACACATTGTACCCATGTGGGGAACCAAACCCGGGTCTTCGGCATGACGAGCGAACGCTTTAACCACAATGCTACCACACCGCCCAAAGCAACAGAAATGAATGGTAAATGATAGAAGCTTGAAGACATAGCACTCTTGATGCCTAACCACTAACTAATTAACAACGCAATTAGAACATCCAAAAACAACAATAACAACCACAATATTCAAACAAAAACCACATTTCATGCCAAAGACGTCCAAACTGACATTGACACAAGAGAGATAACTCTCACCTGGAGGGAGACTACTCCGGCCTCCTTTCTCCTTTTCCTTCCCCTTTCCCTTCAACTTGCTGTACACCTTGCTGAACTTGCCACCATGTTTGTGGCGCTTATGCTGTTCTATCATCTGCACCTATAAGCAATGTATCTATGGTTACGGCCTACCGGTCATATTTCCATGTTCCACATGACCAAGTGATTTGAAACACAAAAATAACCAACCATTTGCAATCCAACTCTCTGGCACACAGTTTCCAGGGACTCTCATTTGCATAATCTAGGCTTCTTTCAACTCTTATCCACAGAAGATATTTTATTGTACAGGAAATTCATACTGAGTAAAATAAGTCTACAGAACAAAATATTACTAGCATGAGTACAGAGACAGCTAAAAGCTTGCTACCAAGTTCTACTTTTTACTACAGAACTGCCATCACACTATCCCTTATTCCCTATGAAGTGATCAGAATGTGACCAGTAACACCCATTATTTCAGCCTATAAAAGCATTGTACAGAGGCCAGAAATAATTTTGGAGTTTGGATAAGAAGATAGAGATAGAAATTTGTCCCCAAATCAATTTGTTCCATAGAAGAACTATGTTTTGTGTTAGGAGGAACTACTTTCGGCATACTCACTTCCTCTGGTGTCTGTGTATACTGGCCCACGCCACTGATGTTGGCCACCTTCTTCATCTCCACCTCCAGTGTGGCCAGGCACATGCTAAGCTTCTCCTCGATGTCGTGCCAGAGGTGCTGCAACAGCATCGAAATGCTTTAGTCAGTCACTGCACTGCACGTGGGCATTATGGTATTCTGGTGATTCATCATGACTTCATATTTATAATTATTTTTCATTAAATACAGATATTAGTGAGCGACTGAGTTAGTTCTAATACTACTTGACCCGTGAAGATCTGGGTTAGAACTGGTCTTTTGTAACCCATGCTTGTCATAAGAGCCGACTAACGATTTGGGTGGTCAGGCTCGCGGACTTAGTTGACACATGTCATTGAATCCCAATTGTGTAGATCGATGCTCATGCTGTTGCTCACTGGACTGTCCGGTCCAGACTTGATCATTTACTGACCGAGGCCATATAGCTGGAATATTGCTGAGTGTGGCATTAAACAACAGACCAACCAACCAATTAATACTACTGGTTATGTCATGGCTTGTTAGCTGGTAGTGGGAGGAAAGGCCCCCGAAACAAAAACAGGCCTCAGAAGTTAAACACTTTGGTGAAACCCACGAGTACAGGGATGGTACTGACAAACCTGGAAAGGGCATGCCAGGATTCGAACCCAGGATTTCTGGCACATCTAAGGGATGAAAGTGTGCACTGTGAAAGACTGACTGACTGAGTTTGGTTTTACGCCGCTTTTAGCAATATTCCAGCAACATCACGGCAGGGGACACCAGAAATGGGCTTCACACATTGTACCCATATGGGGATTCAAACCCGGGTCTTCGACGTGACAAGCCAACGCTTTAACCATTAGGCTAAGCCACCGCCCCTCACAGTGAAAGAAGGAGAGACAGAATACTTAGGGGTATTAGGAGAAATCTCGTGAGAGGAATATCAGTAGAGAGGGCATGAGAGTGTCAGTCAATAGAGGAGAGGTAGAGAGAATGTCAGTAGAGAAGGAGAGAGAGAAAGGTTTTCAATTGAGAGAGGGAGTGAAAGTGTTCAGAAGAAATGACCGCTTACAACATTGGACATGGCAGGAGCTTTGTCCGAGAGGAACAGGCTTGCTTCGTTGTAAAGGAGTTTAACGCTGTGTAGCAGGTCGGACACTTGACTCCGTAGTGTGGGCTGAAACAAGGACGGTCATCTTACATACAACACAAATCAGAGCTACAAGCATGTGGATATCTCCTTAGCAGCAAACACGACAGCCGCAAACATGATGTAAAGGATAAAATACAACTCCAAGGTCTTGGTCGGGATTGTAAAACCCTCGAGCAGCAGGGACGGAGCTTGTAAAACCAAGGGCTTACAAAACCTAGGTTATGAAATGGTCAACATTTAACCTGATATGAGGTTTCGAAACGTGTACTTCAAAACCTGGGTTTAGAAATGATCGGTGCAAAGTCACGACAGAGGTCTACCTGATTCTGGAAGGAACCTACTGTACTGCAGAGAAAATCGGAGATAGGTTTATAAAACAGTACCCAGCAGGTGTAAACAGTACAAGCTGTAACGTTTGATGATGACAGACACAGATCAGGTAAACCGTAGTTGATGTTGTACCCATCAGCGTCAACTCGGTTCAAATCTAAATCAACGCAGCCAGAACTATGGCATTGGCAACTGTTTCATTTCAATAAATGTGTTTGAATCTGGCACCACGAAACCATAGTCTAGTCTTACTAGTTAATATGTTCACCAGTAGTGACATGCATTCAGCAATGAATATCCACCCAGCTATTTTCACCATCTAAGATAGTTTTCACCAGATACATTTTTCCTGCAGGCCCTTCAATCCCATTACACCACAGAGGTAAAAAGGATCACTGATACCATTACTAGGTGCTGATTTTACAAACTGTACTCTATAATCTCAATCATTCAATACACAAATAACACCGTGCCACTCAAATATTCTCTGAATGACAAGCAAATTATCACAAAATATCAACTAGTCACGACATTCTTGTTAAGCATTATAAACAACTGAAATGCTAGAACATGCAGATCCAAACATAACTGCTGTTAGGACATAATCACATTTCAAATGTTAATTAAATTAAAACAGGGACTTGCATGCACAATAATATAAAATCAAGAATAAAATCTAAATTTGGAGGCATCTGAAATAACTGAAAGAAAGCTACAAACAATCTATGGTGCACTTATACAAGCAATAATTAAATTAAATTAATCAACACGAAACGGATAAAATAAAATTTCCTAAAAACTTGGGGGTGAATTAATGACACAGAAATCAAATGGCAAACTCTACAAGATAACAATACTACTAGTGACACAAACCTGGTAGGTCTCAGGCTCCGAAGACTCAAGCTGATGTGGGAGAAAAAAATTGAAATCATTTTAAATTTTTTTTCTGTGTTTTACCAAATTTGAATTTTTAACACACCTTTGCCCACTCATCTGTGGAACCTGTAGAAGCTCACCTCACCCATCCATGACTGTATTTAAACAATAAAGTCTAATTTTTTATCCATAAAAACCCATCTGACATCTAACAGTCATAAAAAGTCAATTAATTGGGATCAATAGATAAATTTGGAAACAATTGTGAAAACCACATAATGGAAATGTCAATCCACAGTTTTTGATCACTTCTCTCTGAGCACTGTCCTGAACTACTGCCTTACTGAAGAGAAAGTAACAGATAATCACCTCGGGAAGTTTTCCTGAAGGGTACAGACGATCCAAACAAGACGACGCTTGTTGGGCAAGGGGAAATAACTCTTGTTCTATTGTACTGTGACTTCGGGCAGCTACCTTCACACTGAAAGAAAAAAACAACTTCTTTCAGCAACAGAAATCAGAACTTAGCTATGTCAGCAATTTCCATAAGGTTATAGTACATTTACTGGAGAGCCTGGTAAACAGGCCAGTGTCTTGCAGGGATGAGAATGAAGTTTTGAGAAAAACTCTGAAAACTAGCCGGGGGCAAAATCAATGCCAAATTATACAGATTTAGACGATTCACAAAAATGACCCTTGGCCTTATGAAATTCCCGGAATTAAGCGGATCCGCAGAAAATTCTTATCCCTGGTCTTGGAATGTCCTCCTCCCATGAAGATCTGAGTCACAACTGGTCTTCAGCCAACCAGGTTTATCTTTAATGGCAACTAATCAAATCAGTTTGTCGGGATTACTGACTTGGACGTACACGTCATTGTATCCCTACTGCATCCACCAAATGCTCATTATTTCGATCACTGGATTGTCTAGTCAAGACTTGATTATTTACCGACCACAACCGTACAGCTTTGATACAGCTCGGTGCTGCATTTGACAACAAACAAACATGACCACCATGAGTCAATGCTTATTGTATTGTTTTATCCCCTTCTTACCATCGTATGAGCGACGCTGCTGCCTCCACAAAGTTAAGCAATATGTGAGCTTCATCTTCTGACAAAGGTGCTGGCTGTGGACTGATTGACCGGTCTATCTTCTGCTTCTCGGACCACGATTTTAACACATTCTCGAAAGTCTGTAACACAAATATTGTATTACCAACAGATAGAAACCACAAGTTGAAAAGCCACATTAATGGATAAGCATTTACAACACTTGAATTCTATGAAAAACAATTATGAGACAATACAGGCAATGAAATATAACAATCAAAATCAATAATTTCTTGGCATCATCTGTAGATGAAGGTTAGGCCCAAATTGTTACAACCAAACCATGAAGTTAGATCACAAGGGTGAAACGTCATTATCAAATGAAGCCAAGACTTGTTCTATTTCTTAAATCCAGACGGGTGCCTCATCAACTGACCCTGTCTCTTGTGAGCATCTGGGCTCGATTCTTGTGTACGATGCGGATGAAGCCGGGAGGCTGTGTCCATGCCTCCCCATCTACCTGCACAGGTACGCCCTCGTCCCCCAGGATGGTGATCTTCACAGTCCGACACTGCAACACCAACATCCACTATACATACTCACAAGTCACCCAGTTATGAATCTCAAGCTAGATAACTTGTTCTAGCATCTGCACTTAATGGCTCAATTTCACACATCTTCAACAATATTTTGGCCTCTATGATACATAATGGGGCATATGCACTCACTTTAGCTTTCTGTTGATGCAATAAAAAACTTATTATCACTTACGACTTGATAATTGAAACTTTGGGGAGAACAATACCAAACAGAGAACATTTGCCATATATGGAATGTAAACAATTGCTGCGTACATCGAAAACTGGCACACACAGTGTTGTCGGTGTTTGCCGAACTGGTTTCAGTCACAAGTTGCATGTATGTTTTTGCACCAGACACAAGCGTCATTTGTCTAGGGCTGAGTTCTGTCTCCAAAGGAGCTCTAGGATATTCGTAAAGAGCACTCCAAGGGATATAACTCTATGGGGTTAACTTGAAATAATGTTCGGTAAGGGGCGCAAGAGTCGATTTAATGCATGCTGCATTAATTCATTCAAACTTTTTAATTTAATATTGTAACCTAAATAAGTAATCTTTTTTAAATAAATTATTTGGTAGCTTCCCTGAGGGCTGATAGTTAGTACTATTGAGAGAAATGCATTATTTATTTTTAGAAAATTGTGGTGTGAAATAGTGCCTTGAAAAGTTTTTTGAACGACAAATGAATTCCAAATGTCAACTGTTTTCATTGATTTTATAACTCCTAGAACCAACTCCTGGCAGTTACTGAAGCCAGTAGTTTAGCTTAAAAGCTCTCTTCTTACATCAGAAGTAAAGTTCTGATCCTGTTAGCTTGATGAATATTTACATATTCCCCGCAAGGAGGGAAATCAATCTCTGACCACTAGTAGGAGTGGTTGTCAGTTTAGCTTTACGCCACACTTACCAATATTCCAGCTATATGGCCTCGGTCTGTAAATAATCAAGTCTGGACCAGACAAAAATCCAGTGAGCAACAGCATGAGCATCCATCTACGCAAATGGGATACGATGACATGTGTCAACCAAGTCAGTGAGTCTGACCACCCGATCCCGTTAGTTGCCTCTTACAACAAACATGGGTCTAACCCGGATCTTCACGGGTCCTCTGACCATTAGAACACATCCCTTATGCCAAACCACACACGTTCACCTCATTCAAACTGAACAGCTGCCTTCTATCAATCTCTTTTCTGTTTAATTCTTTTGTATTGGGAAAATAATTTCGTTGAAGCAGTATCGTGATATATATATGATTCTAATGTATCCTGCGAGAGGGTTTATACCATGCATCTCCTCCACCATTTGACCCTAAACAGTCCAACTAGTCTACATGCCACCCTAATATATACAATCATTTTGTTCTGATTACACAACCAACAGACATAATACTTGTAAAGAGATCTCAATACACCAGGAAATCATTACCCAATCACTAGTTCCCCCGGTCTTATTAGAGCCATGCCTACCTGACAGATTCGATGATGTTGAATGTCGATGACCCTTGACACAGCCATCTGCACTCCCCCAAACACAGCTACCACTTCAAGAATCTTGTCATCAAAGCTTGGGGCAGTGAAGTTCTGGAAAAGTTTCAATGCTGTCAATTTTTACGAACATACAAGACTATGGCATCAGGGTACAATGTGTCACAGAATCAGTCTAGTAAAAGCTGAAAGTGGTTTTTAGCTTCATCAACCAGGTAGTCCATAGTCAGCATATCTGAACCATCCAATCCACAGTACAGTAGAAATATTCCACTATCAGTGCAGTGGCTTCTATATTCTCAATTTAGACACTTCAAGCATTTCTGATCTGATTTGTTATAATGCAAATGAATGCAACTGGGCAGTTCCAAATGGAGCATGATAAAGACAGTGATATATCTATGTCAGTAAGTACTGAAACAGATTCATTTTGAAAACCGACATTTGCTTGGCCCAACACTTTCCATCTTGACTGAGAAGTCCAAGTTCAAATGATAGAATCTATAGACAGTTTGTCACATCTTGGCAGAGATTTTGATTTTGAGAAAAATTAAATTGATTACCGGTAAATGAGATTGGGATCAACTATGATGTACAGATTGCAAAATCATTACTGCATTACAATTCATAAGGAACATTAACACCATGGATAATAAAGTGAAGTATTCTTACTATATCTTCTTTGGTACCACCCCAGAAATTTGCCCCTCCACCATAACTGAAAATAAACAGAAAACAGTAAATACAGGCAGAATGAGAAAATAGGCAAATAAATATATAGAACTATCACTATCAGCAAATGATTCTCACACCAGTTACTCTCCTCTGACCGGTGAATGATGAGGAAAGAATGCTCTTCCCCCAGATACATATCTTCACAGTAGGATATTCCAATAGTGAGAATATGTCTGGCCACAGGCAGCAAGTTTACAACTGTATCACAATGTGGACGACAGCATGAGCAAGGATCTGCAAATGATCAGCAGTTTTGACCAATCAGTGAGCCCTTGTACCAAAGCAATTAGCAAGCCAACCAATCAGCACTTGATCCACAGATATTAGAAATATTGCCCAGTCAATCAACAAGTAAACAATCAAACAGACATTTTCTCCAATCAATCAGCCCAAAACTCCAATCAGTCAACAATTGTGCCCAAAAAAACAACACATGTCCTCAGTCAACTGACTTCTGTCCCTCAGCAATCAACAACTGTGCCAAGACAACGGACAACTGTGCCCACACAATCAACAGTCCTGCCTAAGGTCTGTCTTCCTTCTTCCTGTCAGTGATGTCATCATGCCTGAACTACTTTCCATGCAACTGACCTTGGAATGTTGAGAATGACGATCCCCTTAAGACTTGGCAGTGGAATTCTCTGTCCATCGCACTCCAGGAGAACTCTCTGGTCCAGGTTTTTGAAGGTGCGATGTAGGATCTCCTTGCTGGCCAGTACTCCATACCACATCAGATTCTTCGTCCGACTCCGACACTTCTCCGGGTGCTCGTCCCTCTTCATCTGGAACTCCAGGTTTATCTTGGCATCGAGACCAATCCCGAAGTAGTTGTTCATGACACACCTCTCTGTGTACAGCTCTCTGAAGGATACACAACAAGAAATATTTCACTGAAAGTTATTAGACAATCACATCTGAAAATAACTACAATGTCAACAGTAGTTTATATTCATTTTCAAATTAACGAAAGCACAACAAAGGAAAATGGGCTACATCATTCCACAATGAGAGCGATAGTTCATCTAATAAAGAGGATTGGTGATAAACTGGTCATAGTGCTAAGCATGCTGCAAGCAATTCTAGCAATGGTACACAAGATGTCACAACAAATTTTACGGAGGGATAACAACATATGGATGGACAACTTCTGTATTACAGTGAAAGTGACGTTTCGGTGTAGGTTAATATGGTGATTAATACATAAGAGGGCGAAAATATCAGGGTTCATATTTTTCATACGATGCCCTAGGGCAAAATATCACTTTGTCATGGTGAGTAGATTTGGGTTTATTTTCCTCAGTTTGATGACTTCGGTAATAAATAGAATAGCATTTTTGTGCCCATATCATACTATGTTTACAACACTTGTGCCTAAAAATCGGTATATCCTTTGCTCTCACTCAGGAAATACCAACATTTAGACATTCGTGCTGTAAACATAGTATGACATTGGCACTCATATAATATCCTCTATGAATGTTAGAAACATCACTCTCTCTGTAACAAAGAAGTTGTTCATCCATATATTGTTATGCTGCCTCACTTCTCCAACTGTCAAATGCTTCTAAAGGAAGTTAAATCTTACGGAATATCTTCTTCTAATAGCGGTGATGCTGCAGCACAGAGGGCGTCAGCGTTGGCCAGAGCACCTTGCTGATGAAGCTGCCTCCACCCAGTGTCTTGGCCAGACTGCTGCTCATCCCTGGAGCAGACGACAAGGCAGCCATTTTGAATTGCCATTATTTTATTTTTAGCATTTATTTAGAATTTGAGTTCATTCATTTTGCATTTTTCATCCTCATCAACACCATAAAAACATTTCCACAAGATAAGGAATTATAAATTTCATGAAGAGTCACAGTGTGTACATTTCTCATTCATTGGAAAGCAGATTCTGTTCTAGCAAATAATGGGAAATTTTGTGATAAAAGATTACAACAACAAAAATCTAATACAAACTTAAAAACTGAATTACTTCAATTTTAGCAACGCGTAATTATAAACGTGGAATTACAATATATATCTTCATCCAAAGAATATTTATCCAAATCATCCATAAGGCCAAACATTTATTTCACAAGACTTCAAAACAGACGGATTATTTACTATGCCCTGGCCCAGACCAAGATGGCAGCCACTCACCTGGCAGCATCATGTGGTGGTCAAGGATGGGCAGTCCAAGAGTTGGGGGGACATTCAGGGTGTCTTTGGAGGGACTCCTGTCACGGCCGCGGGTACAGAGGTTGGAGCCCACGCTGGCGGAGCGGTTAAACGTACTCATGCTGCTGATCCTCCGTGACGACGGACCTCTTGGAGAGCGAGATCCATCTGACACAAAATATGTAACATTTAACAAATGTAATATACATCTTGTAAAATATCCCACACTTTTGTGCCATCTTAAAAACAAATTCTGTTAGGCAATACACAATAAATAATTTTTGATAATAATAATAATGTTAAATTATCAACACTAACATTGAGAGGGTAAACAATTAGCTATGCTGTCTGCGTCCAGAAGCTTACTGGACTGAAAGAAATTGTACAAGACTCGGGCTTCTGACTAGTGGCTATGGCCATAGATGAGCTATGAAGTTTTGAGACAGTATTCCTTGTATTTTCTGGTTGTAACTGTCACAAATTTGACATTTCTCAATGACATGATCAAAACCGTGCTAACATATTCTAAACAAGTCAAAGTGTTGTCAGATAACAGCACTCACCTATACGACTTGGAGCCGGTGGAGGTGGAGGAGGAGGAGGTTCCATTGTGAATATTGAGAAGCTTGGTGCCGACCGAGACGTCGTTCCATCTGTCAAGCCAGCATTCTCCAGGTCCCGATTATCTGCCCCTGCTCCAAGCATCATCTGTCGTGTCTGCTCATTTTGTTCATCGACAGCTGCAATGTAAGGGGCTCTGTGTGAATCAGGCAGAGTAGAAATCACAGTTGCTGCATCACTGAGTGGATTCATGGGTCAGCACATCCTATAGGCATGAGGAACCTGAGTTAACTATGCCCAGTCTAGGTGAAGGATGTGTGAAATCCCCCGAGCCAATCACATCAGTTTTCTTAAGTGATGCAGCTTTATATAATATAACAAATTCAGACACTTCAATAGAACAAAATAGGAAACCTGGACTGCATGCCATTGTGAAAAACATCCTCATCACTACAATGATCCCAAACATGAGTTTACGATCACTTTAGCCCTAAGATCCCTTTGTATAACAGTACCCTGCACAAGCCACCTCACACGGCACTGTGTAGTTGCCACTGCACTCAAAGTACAGGCTGCATCAGATATCCACAATATATGCAGCACAGCCTTTATTATTTTCCATTCAGAACTGCTAGGTTGTGTTAGTTTTCAGATAAAGATATCAGAGTTGATGCTCTGAATGCTCAACTCACTGGTTCCAAGAACACAGAAGAAACAGCAGTGTTGGGCTAATTAGAAAGTTCCGTGACCTCATATATAGAGTTTGTCATCTCTTCACAAAGAGAAGATAACATGCTATTGCTGCACTGCTGTGACCAACCTGTTTAATTGAAGTGATCCTACCTTTTTCTGTGTGTTCTATTATCTGACGCACTGCTTTCTTCAAGCTGTTGGCTCGTGACATCAAGGCATCGCGGGGTCGGAATATGGCCTGAAGAAACACCGAGGAGGATCATGTTAACTCATAACTTGCATCTTGCAAAAAACATTCCGATTATTACACATGTAACAAATTCTGTATGGCTACAACATTAATAATTGGTAATCATTTTTATGGTTTAAAGATCAAATATAGTATGCAGCAGAGAGAGGTTGTTTGGTTCTGGCACAGTCAGGCTGGCAAGGTTCATCATCAGCTCAGGGCCCTTGGCCCTGGTACACGCAGCCCAGACAGCGTCTAGTCAAACCAACCAAGAACTTTCCAGAGAAAATGGAGACAGCCCAACACTGCAGCATTCTGCATTACCCAGTGGGTCAGAATGGCTGTGCTTCTGTTGGAGAACCAGGGCACTCTCTTGATCTCTTGGCACAGATAAGGAGAGTGCCCTCGATCAGGAGGTACCAAACCAGGGCACCAAGAACAATTGGGAGTCAGGATGACAGTATACTGTGATGAAGGAGGGGTTATTATGATTATATTATATCAATTATAAAAATAACCCTTCTTTCTTCACTACCAGATTCCAACCGACATGCAGACAAACCACTGTAGTTGACTTACAGATCTGACTTTGATGGGCCCAGTTATCTCCCCTGGGACGATGTCTCTCTCGGGGGAGCCAATCACAGGCTCCTCCACAATCTCTTCCTCTTCCTCCGGCTCCTATAACATGATCCAGACATGAGGAACAGAACAATTCAACATCAGTTGGGTATTCATCATAAACAAATATCTGCTTACGGACCATTCATAATTTATAGCTAGGGGGGTGGGAGGGGGTTGGGGGTGATGACGATTTTTATGGAGAAGCATGTACAATGTGAATGAGTGCCCCTAAGATTTATGTACAAAGTAAGTGACACCCCCTGCATGTCATGTACAAAATCAATGATCCCCCCCCCTCTAATTTTTAAGCATAATTTTTTGAATATATTCATGTACAGAATAGCTGACAAACCAACCCCACCCCAACCCCCAACCCCGAACATGTATACAAAATTGATGACCCACCTACCTTCCCAGAACAAAATGGGTGAAACAAACCACCACCACCCCCCTTAAAATCATCATCACCCCCTAGCCATAAATTAAACGGTCCCTTATTGCAATGTTGGCCCGTGTGTACTTACCTCTGTGGAAACCTTTGATTCCTGGTTAAGAGTCTTCAACAACCCTTCAAGTTTTTCATTTAACACAGCACACTGCAACAAACAGACAACCAGTTGAATACACTTCCTACTGCAAGCAAGAGTGACAACAGTATAAGAATCCATACCGAAACGTCGCATCATGTACATAAGTAAGTATAAAAGAAGTTGTTATCCATAAAGAATGTATATAGAGACATTGGGTTTTGTAAATACATGCTTTCTGCATTTGCGTTCGATCCAATCAACAAATACTGAGGTGGTGAACTACTGCGTGGCTGGAGACTGTCGTTCATCCAAGTACAAAGCAGGACTTGAAACTCACAATCTGAGTTTGCACCGGTTTCCGTCCGATCCAGCCATCCGAGAAAAATGGATGCAGTTTGTTTGCAACCCCACCACCCACAGACATAATAACATGTCATGTGTACAAGTATCACACCAGCCTGTCTGTGTAATAATATTACATGATGTGACAGAGACAGAACTCAGGTGCACGAGCCATAAATCAATGTATTTTGTTTATGGTGTATAACCTGATAGGTGTTAAGTTCAAATTGCATGTGGTCAATGATTGAAGTTGTGTATTGCATATTGTCATAAGCAGACAGGCAGGCAGACACATAGGTGTCAATAAAACAGACACTGAGTTTTGTCTGTGACAGAGTGCTGGGGTGAAATTAGTGAATCGTTTGAACTCTGATTTCGAGGGGGGGTTTCATCGGCGTCTTCCCACTTCACCCAACTCCTATTTTTCAACTTTATAAGTTGAATTTGCATTTTTGATAATTTGTTACTGTAAGTCCATACCGAAAGGTATCAGAATCTGCAAAGTTGTGTTTTGCGTTGCATGTGACCTTTAAACAAAACAAAACTGAAGAATTTAACAATCTAACTTGTATTATCTATTATCCATATAAAATGAGAGAAAAGGGAAAGAGATCCTTACGTGCCCACACCTATTTTTGTGATGAGCAAACACTATAGTTTAGTGTATAGTTTATAGTTAAAAATTAGGTGGAGGGTACGTAAGGAACTCTTACCGAGAAAAGTTGGAAAAATAAAAAATAGGTAATTAAAATTCTAAAAAAAATCCTGTACAGCTATACATACTTATGTTACTGATATTTTTCACTGGGGGTGTAAGATAATCTATGCAGGTAGACAGGTAAATGCTATGAATTTTTCAGAAATTATTTTCCCTCTTTTCGTTCACGCCTTCATACCTGTTTAGAATATGCATATTAATATGTATATGGGCCTGTGACCTTCATATGTAATAAACACTTTGATGATGACACTTGGCCAGAAACCTGCCAGTCAATATATCGCAATATGTATTGCAATATCTCTTACATTATTGCAATATATCGCAATATGAGAATCAGGGCAATATCCAGCCCTACTCCTCATGCCGAAGACCTGGGTTCGATTCCCCACATAGGTACAATGTGTGAAGCACCTTCCTGGTGTCCCCCTACTGTGATATTGCTTGAATATTGCTAAAAGCGGCATAAAACCAAACTCACTTATATAGCTGAACACTGGATGGACAAAAACAGATTCTCTCCCTTTGACCATTCATGGTCAAACATGAGTTATGCCCCTTTGACCACAGAGATTTCTAAATGCATGTAAGATCAAGGCAGCAGACATGAGAATGTCAAGAACTGGCAGCAAACAACAATGTGGCAGTCAATAGCCTGAGCAACAGTTTTCTCTTCAGGTATTTTACACATTACAAAATGTAACCACAGAATTGTCATTAATGATGGGGACCTAGATCATCATCATCATCATCATCATCATCATCATCATCATCATCATCATCATCATCATCATCATCACCAGATCCTTACCTTCATGGCTATTGATTCTCCCTCAGGCTCTTCCTTCTCAGGCTCCTCTTCATGAGAGTCTCCTACTTTGGCTACAAAATCTTTGACAGTTTCACATAAAACTCTGAAACAAAAAACAACATGCTCTTGTTTCAACAGGAAAATGAAACTGGATCCTAAATTTTTAGATTACATTTAACAAATTAAGATTCTTAAATCTATACATCCCATAACATCTTATACAAAGCTCTCTCTGGGATATAGTGAACATCTCAAACATAAATATTCTGTTGAGGTTGAAGGAGGTTGAGGGAGGATGAAGGAGGTTGAGGGAGGTTGAAGGAGGTTGAGGGAGGATGAAGGAGGTTGAGGGAGGTTGAAGGAGTGAGGAGGTTTTATGCCACTTTTAGCAATATTCCAGCAACATCACGGCAGGGGACACCAGAAATGGGCTTCATACACTGTACCCATGTTGGGAATCGAACCCGGTCTTCTGCATGACGAGCAAACGCCTTAACCACTAGGCTACGACACTGCCCCGGGCGTTGAAGGAGGTTGTGGCAAGTTGAAGGAGGTTGGGGGAGGTTGAAGGAGGTTGTAAGTTGAGGGAGGTTGAAGGAGGTTGAGGGAGGTTGAAGGAGGTTGAGGGAGGTTGAAGGAGGTACTCACTTGGCAGAGGATATCACAACCTGATGATCTTCGGAATGAAGTATTTTGGACAGATGGGCAGCGACAGAGTCCTCATACTGGGAGATGGGATCAGTCTACAAGGAGAGAAGGACACCATTACACCAACACTGCGTCAGTAGAACACTCAACTCAGCAGCAACATAATCATTCCATCAGCCCAGGGTCTTATTAAATGTACCATTCAATTTGATTGGCCCATGTAATTAGCGAATCACATTTCATCTTACAGAATGTTTTTCATCATTATTAAGGTAGGTATTATAGCAAATGTACACAGTAAAACATAAAAACAGTTCTTGAGATTGTACCACTAATTGTTCAGATGAGTATAGGATTTACTTCTATTCATTATAAGGATCATATTAACAATTTGGCTGTTTATAACTTGCAGTAAAATCAAACTGCGTCAAGAAGGCTTGTTCATGTTTCAGACAAGATACACTATTGACATACAGAACCACTTAATAATTATCATCGCTATTGTTATTATTAAAAATTCTAATGCTGTGATTCTAAATGCTGTGATTCTAAATGCTGATTGGTTTATTGAAGCCATATGTCATCACAGTGCTTCATTGTTGAGAACTATATGATGACATTTTAACAGAGATGTGGTCAATGAAGTGGTGATTAACACATTTTGTGAACGACTCATTTCAACCCCAGATATTGATACAGGCACTGATGTAAAGTGGCTGATATTTCTGGGGTATGCGCACCTGTTGAGACAGTTTCCTTGGGGGTGGCATAGTTCCCTCATACGTCCATATACTCCAGCTGAAACAGCAATGGTATTCCTCAACAAACATGCCAGAATTAACTAAAATAGTTCAAGCTCTTTATATTTAAAGTCTCCTCGCATAATCTGGTCACACATTTTCTATGCCATTTCACTCTGTACATTCTAAAACACAGCAGTGAAACACTTTAGTTGAGTGATGAATTACACCCCAATCACCGATTGTACGGCTATATCACTAATGCTATAAAAATTAATGTAATTAAGTTTGAACGGATAAAACCAGATTCGTTGATTGCACGAAATCCAACCCACCAGGCTGTGACATCCCCCAGCAAGGTCACACAGCAAGGTCACACACTGCCAAGCTAATATTCTGTCAGCTCTAACAAACAGCAAAGTGGTAGGACCATAGCCTATGGAATTCATGTGTGTGATTCTTTGAGCACAGTAACCACACCAACGGATACTCACCGATCTAACTTTGAGCACAGTAACCACGACAACGGATACTCACCGATCTAACATTGAGCACAGTAACCACGACAACGGATACTCACCGATCTAACATTGAGCACAGTAACCACGACAACGGATACTCGGGCGATCTAACATTTTAATCCACGCATAACGGATACTCACCGATCTAACATTGAGCACAGTAACTGGACGTAACGATGTCACCGCATCTAACATTGAGCACAGTAAGTAATGCATAACGGATACTCACCATCTAACATTGAGCACAGTAAACCATAACGGATATTCACCATCTAACATTGAGCACAGTCCCAAACGGATAGCACCCCTAGTTTCTTGGCAGCTGGAAGTTTAGTGTATCGCTATCAAATGTCTCTTCCCTAGAACCCGCAAATCAGCCCCAAACGGTAGCACCCTTATTTGGCACTGAAACATTACAAGGTTACAAATCAGCAGCTTTAATTCCATGCAAATTTGACACTCGTTCACACATACAACTAAAATATTACTCAGTCTATTAAATATTCCTCAATCACACAGACTATTTACTATTCCACAGTCAGACAGATACTATTAAATATTCCTCAATCACACAGGCTATTTACTATTCCACAGTCAGACAGATACTATTAAATATTCCTCAATCACACAGGCTATTTACTATTCCACAGTCAGACAGATACTATTAAATATTCCTCAATCACACAGACTATTTACTATTCCACAGTCAGACAGATACTATTAAATATTCCTCAATCACACAGGCTATTTACTATTCCACAGTCAGACAGATACTATTAAATATTCCTCAATCACACAGACTATTTACTATTACACAGTCAGACAGATACTATTAAATATTTCTCAATCACACAGACTATTCACTATTCCACAGTCAGACAGATACTATTAAATATTCCTCAATCACACGGACTATTCACTATTCCACAGTCAGACAGACACTATTAAATATTCCTCAATCACACAGACTATTTACTATTCCACAGTCAGACAGATACTATTAAATATTCCTCAATCACACAGGCTATTTACTATTCCACAGTCAGACAGATACTATTAAATATTCCTCAATCACACGGACTATTTACTATTCCACAGTCAGACAGATACTATTAAATATTCCTCAATCACACAGACTATTTACTATTCCACAGTCAGACAGATACTATTAAATATTCCTCAATCACACAGACTATTTACTATTCCACAGTCAGACAGATACTATTAAATATTCCTCAATCACACAAACTATTTACTATTCCACAATCAGACAGATACTATTAAATATTCCTCAATCACACAGACTATTTACTATTCCACAGTCAGACAGATACTATTAAATATTCCTCAATCACACGGACTATTTACTATTCCACAGTCAGACAGATACTATTAAATATTCTCAATCACACAGACTATTTACTATTCCACAGTCAGACAGATACTATTAAATATTCCCTCAATCACACAGACTATTTACTATTCCACAGTCAGACAGATACTATTAAATATTCCTCAATCACACAGACTATTTATTTATTCCACAGTCAGACAGATACTATTAAATATTCCTCAATCACACAGGCTATTTACTATTCCACAGTCAGACAGATACTATTAAATATTCCTCAATCACACAGACTATTTACTATTACACAGTCAGACAGATACTATTAAATATTCTCAATCACACAGGCTATTTACTATTCCACAGTCAGACAGATACTATTAAATATTCTCAATCACACAGACTATTTACTATTCCACAGTCAGACAGATACTATTAAATATTCTCAATCACACAGGCTATTTATTATTCCACAGTCAGACAGATACTATTAAATATTCCTCAATCACACAGACTATTTACTATTACACAGTCAGACAGATACTATTAAATATTTTTCAATCACACAGACTATTCACTATTCCACAGTCAGACAGATACTATTAAATATCTCTCAATCACACGGACTATTCACTATTCCACAGTCAGACAGACACTATTAAATATTCCTCAATCACACAGACTATTTACTATTCCACAGTCAGACAGATACTATTAAATATTCCTCAATCACACAGGCTATTTACTATTCCACAGTCAGACAGATACTATTAAATATTCTCAATCACACGGACTATTTACTATTCCACAGTCAGACAGATACTATTAAATATTCCTCAATCACACAGACTATTTACTATTCCACAGTCAGACAGATACTATTAAATATTCTCAATCACACAGACTATTTACTATTCCACAGTCAGACAGATACTATTAAATATTCCTCAATCACACAAACTATTTACTATTCCCACAATCAGACAGATACTATTAAATATTCTCAATCACACAGACTATTTACTATTCCACAGTCAGACAGATACTATTAAATATTCTCAATCACACGGACTATTTATTTTATTCCACAGTCAGACAGATACTATTAAATATTCCTCATTCACACAGACTATTTACTATTCCACAGTCAGACAGATACTATTAAATATTCCTCATTCACACAGACTATTTACTATTCCACAGTCAGACAGATACTATTAAATATTCTCAATCACACAGACTATTTACTATTCCACAGTCAGACAGATACTATTAAATATTCCTCAATCACACAGACTATTTACTATTCCACAGTCAGACAGATACTATTAAATATTCCTCAATCACACAGACTATTTACTATTCCACAGTCAGACAGATACTATTAAATATTCCTCAATCACACAGACTATTTACTATTCCACAGTCAGACAGATACTATTAAATATTCCTCAATCACACAGACTATTTACTATTCCACAGTCAGACAGATACTATTAAATATTCCTCAATCACAGACTATTTACTATTCCACAGTCAGACAGATACTATTAAATATTCCTCAATCACACGGACTATTTACTATTCCACAGTCAGACAGATACTATTAAATATTCCTCAATCACACAGACTATTTACTTTTATTCCACAGTCAGACAGATACTATTAAATATTCCTCAATCACACAGACTATTTACTATTCCACAGTCAGACAGATACTATTAAATATTCCTCAATCACACAGACTATTTACTATTCCACAGTCAGACAGATACTATTAAATATTCCTCAATCACACAGACTATTTACTATTCCACAGTCAGACAGATACTATTAAATATTCCTCAATCACACAGACTATTTACTATTCCACAGTCAGACAGATACTATTAAATATTCCTCAATCACACAGACTATTTACTATTCCACAGTCAGACAGATACTATTAAATATTCCTCAATCACACAGACTATTTACTATTCCACAGTCAGACAGATACTATTAAATATTCCTCAATCACACAGACTATTTACTATTCCACAGTCAGACAGATACTATTAAATATTCCTCAATCATACAGACTATTCACTTTTCGTCAGTCTCACACATATTATTTACTGTTCACTATTCGTCAATCTCACACATATTATTTACTGTTTGAAAAATATTTGCAATTCTATCTACATGTTCTTAAATATTCATTTCATATGACCATTTTCCTGGATAATTAATCAAAATTTGTAACACAAAATTTCCCCATTTAAAATGTTCTTGAGGGCAGTAATATAACGCACCTGTCGATGTAGATCTAGTTTGTCAATCTCAGATAGCACCCATCCAATACTGCCATCACCCCCACAGATGAGAATACGGAAGGAATCAAATTTTTGGAATAATCGTAGCCTGAAACACAAAGCAATATCGTTCACACACAGAAAGAGACAACTAGAACATAGATGAGCAGGAGAATATTGTCAAAGACGTCACTTGTTTTCTATGAGGGCAAGAGCTGGATGTATTTCTGCTTCATTCAAGCATGCCAGCTTGGTGTGGGAGATAAGCCCTTTTCCTAGCTGATTGTCAGGACAATGTTTAACACCGCACTTGGCAATATTCCAGCTATATGGTGTCAGTCTGTTAATAATTAATGATGGACCAGACAATCCAGTGATCAACAGCATGAGCATCGATCTACACAATTGGGATACGATGACATGTGTCAACCAAGTCAGCGAGTCTGCCTAGTAAATATAGTTACTGGGGTAGTTGTCTGTTACGACAAGCATGGGTTGCTCAAGACCAATTCTAACCCAAATCTTCATGGGTTTAAGAACATTGAGACCTCTGACATTGGTTCACGTGAACAAAATAAACAGGCTGCATGTGGATATCTGAGAGGGACAGTCAACCCCTTCCATGCAGCTCTAAAGCAGAAAGCTACATGTAGTTTACATGTGTAAAAAGTCACAGTTCAGGTGTACCGCAGCTCAATCAAACTTTTGTTTTATATTAATTTTCAGTTTATTTTAAAGGGTGTCGAAGAGATTGCTGACTTAGAGGGAAAGGACATAGTCCAACTCACCCTGGGTACGGGCCTCCATTCATGAGATCAAAAACCTGAGCAGGATTCAACAGCTGCTTAAATCTTCGTAAAAATTTTACTCCCTGAAAAATAATATACATGATATAATCCATAATTAATAATAAATCTTGAAAGTTTACCACCCGCCTTTTCCAACAGACCAACGTGCATATATTCCTGATTATACAGCAACTTTTGACTCTAAGGTATTGCCTGGGTACCCGGTGGGTACAATATTTTGTTACAAAGTGCTGAGATTGTTTCTGTTCATAAACAGAAATACATGTCTGTCTGTCTGTGATGAATTGTAGTATTTCAGGTGTTTCAACAACCAAAGTTCAAGATCACGTCTGCGTCAAGCATCTGTTGCCACTAATTCTGTCATTTTTCCATCAGTTTCTGCCCATGATGTCAAATTCCATCACTTTCTGGCTATACAGAAATACTAGTATTCAGCTTGTACCACTTATGATATGTCTCTCCACCTTTACTATTGTGTTCCATGTGTTTCCAACTGTAACTACTGTGTTGCACGGGTTCAACTGTACCTGATTGTCGCCACTCTTGGTGTTGACGTACACCAGCAGTGGGCTGGTCCCAGGCGGGCGTGTCGCCTCCCAATAGCCGTCCGAGTCAATGCTGTTAATAGCGATGGGAGGGAGCACAGACAAGCGGCATTGACCAAGGGGGCATTTCTTATAGAATTGTTCTTTACAGGACGTATGCACCTGAAAATATATTGTCAGTTGTGAAAATCATTGTGAAAATCATTGAGAGAATGTGTCATTAAAAACACAAGGTAAAAAAATGAATCTCCAACTGGGCCAACACATGGAAAACATTTAATTGCACATCCTTTTACCATCAAGTTAACCATTCAAACTAGTCTGTCATACAGACCCTGAAGCAAATATATCCAAGAAAGCCCACACAAGTCTAGAAAATGTGGCAAGTATAGATTTCCTCTCAGGGCTCCTTTTCATTATATTATAGTTTTTTTACTATGAACTTTTTTCAGTAAAATATGTTCATTTCAGAGACTAGTTGTTAGTCTACCTTCAAACCAACAATACAACACAGAAGACATACAGTTAGTAACAACCGTGTGGGGCCCCTGCTGCTCAAGCTGCAGCCCTGACCATGGATGTGTACTCACCATAGCTCGACACCAGAGGCAGCGCCAGTCCTGGAGGCGGAGAACGCTGCCGCAGGTTTTATCACAGACATTGCATTTAGCACTGACAGGTAGGTTGCCTTCTAACCACTGATGTGGTAATGAGATCTGAAACAGGCACAAACATTGTAGAGACTTCTCCAACAGATTATAACTCTTTTAGTCAAGTCAGTGAGTCAGTTATAACATTCAGTTTAACCACTGCATATTGAAGTAATGTAGGGCAAGACAGACAGAATCAGGTCGAAGGTGTTGACTAATTTCGTAAACCCACATGTAGAGGTGTGCTGATGACAGGGCAAGGGTCATAATTGGGCAGATTTGGGGTAAATCCACCAGTAGCGGATCCTGGTATGGTGAAGGGAAGGAACTCAAGTTGAACTGAAAAGCATTTGATCAGTATGTCACCTATGCCCCAATGATTATTACTCTTGAATAAAATAAATGGAATTATTTTTCAAGAGCTATTTAAATTATTTTTTTCAAGACCCAAATAATCTCTGAAATGCCATCCCATTCAACCAATCAACGACATCAAGGACAGTTGGAATCCCAGTTGACCTTGACAGTATTTCCAGGTTTGGCAACCCCTGGTTTCAGTAACATGGCAGCATCATGTCTGGCTTTCCTCCCTTGTTGGGCGACAAGTCGCAACCACAATACTGTTCACAGTGACGTTATACCCAACTCACTCTAACCATAGACAAAGAGCACTTTTCAAAGATATTCAAATATGACAAACTTCAGAGCAGCACACAGTAAGCTTGAAGTGACATTGATAAGTCTTTCTGTGACAGGGAACACCAACAAGATAGCTTTCCTTCTATCAAGGACAATATTGTATTTACAATTGAAAACCTGCAAACAATGAAAGCATATCAGACCTGAGCTTACAGACTTCTGCTTCTGGTCAAAATCAACAAAGTCAATGCTAGTCATCCAGAAGTACCCCCATCACCATCAACCCATATCTAAAGTCAAGCTTCCTGTCAATCATATCTCAGAAATAACAACTGGACCACAAGGAAGTAGTGTCAAGCACCCAAAATAAATATCAATAGGTACAAGGATATATATAAAGAACTCCTTAGAACTCTTTAGTGCTGCAAATCTCCCCTTCTACCTTGTCCCACGTCCCTAAGGCACCACCGCCTTAATTGACTTACATCATAAATTAGGACTTCAGCCTGAAGTTATCATAAACGGCAGCAACACTGAATCTACACTACAAGCCTCCAGTCAAACCTGTCTGAATTCACACACCTCTAGAAAACAGTAAATCCTAAGCCAAATAAAAGCTTGCCACCAATTCCACAATTCTAAGCTACCTAGCTAGCTGCAGGCATTGCCATAGAGCACTAACTACTAATCATAGCTATATAGAATATCCAGCAGGGAAGCCTAGAACTTAGTCGGGGTATTTCAGTCTGAATTGCCCCGGACAATCCTCCATCCCCAAGCCTCACTGATAATCGGCTTCAAACCAGCCCTTAGCCCAGTGACGGTGGTCTAGCTTCTGGGCAAATTTGACCCGTTACAGCTTCGCGGACAAGCCTAGTTGGCATGCTCTGGCCATGGTGTGTGTCGTGATTGTGCAGTCCCTGCAACTATCCTGTGATAGGCCTCATTGAGCGTGCTGGGTGCAGTCAGGGAGAATCAATGTGCCCGTGGGTACAGTTGCCAACCAGCAGTTTGACAAAAGCTTCTGGCTTGTGAAGACCGATCTTCAAGTACAGCCATTCCCCAAGAGGAACACTGATCTGAACACTGAAGGTCACCTGGGCTAAGTCAAAACTTACACCAATTTCGTACTTTGCCTGCAGGCATATTTCAAACAGTTGTACAGTACATTATGTTTATCATGAACAAAGGAGCATGCTTATAATGAACTAACACTGACTGACTGAGTTTGGTTTTACGCCGCTTTTAGCAATATTCCAGCAACATCACGGCGGGGGACACCAGAAATGGTATTGAACTAACAGACATACACAAGCATTTGTTTGGTTCCGGATAATTGCAGCATATTTCAGACAAAATACATATAACAAACTACAATTATAGCAATTACAGGTCCCTTTGAGTTCGTTATAACTATACTTTACTTTACATGCATTGCTTCTACGCAAAAAACAAACTTCCACTGAACATATCTCATCAATGCAGGTTCCTCTTTAGCCATTTACTGGTTAAGTGATGTTAGTTTCATGAACAAACTTTGAATTGTATGCTCAAGCCTACATTGACTATAAATATAGGTAATATATCACACAGAAATGACAAAAATAATGAATTTGAAATTTTGTAACTATCAGCAATCATGTCTTGGTTGGTAAACCGCCAGGAAGTGCTTACAACATTTACATCTCAGAATTTTATTCAACTTAGGATAAAAGTTGTTTAACAAACGATCATAGTTTCAAATCGCTATTATTGGTTTGTATTACAAGGGGATACGCGCAGTAGTTGGAACTGTGAAACAAATGCACGTGCGCTGCGTGATGAGCGTTAACTTAGACCAACCCTACATGTTCTCGGTGTTTCATTTAATGTGCATACCCTCTAGTAATACAAACCAATAATAGCAATTTGAAACTATGATCGTTTGTTAAACAACTTTTATTCTAAGTTGAATAAAATTCTGAGATTTTAATGTTCAATTGGCAAGGTAAAGTTATGAGGATTCGCAATCTTAATTTCACTTTATTTATTTACTTATTTGTTTAAAGTGAAATTCATCGGTACGTTTTCACTGCCAGCAGACTATAGTGCTGATGTAAGTTCAACTGAAGCTGGTGTAAGTTCAACTGAAGCTGATGTAAGTTCAACTGAAGCTGGTGTAAGTTCATCTGAAGCTGGTGTAAGTTCAACTGAAGCTGCTGTAAGTTCAACTGAAGCTGACTCAGGTTCAACTAAAGCTGGTGTAAGTTCAACTGAAGCTGGTGTAAGTTCAACTGAAGCTGATGTAAGTTCAACTGAAGCTGGTGTAAGTTCATCTGAAGCTGATGTAAGTTCAACTGAAGCTGGTGTAAGTTCAACTGAAGCTGATGTAAGTTCAACTGAAGCTGGTGTAAGTTCAACTGAAGTAAGTTCAACTGAAGCTGGTGCAAGTTCATCTGAAGCTGGTGTAAGTTCATCTGAAGCTGGTGTAAGTTCAACTGAAGCTGATGTAAGTTCATCTGAAGCTGATGTAAGTTCAACTGAAGCTGACTCAGGTTCAACTGAAGCTAATGTAAGTTCAACTGAAGCTGACTCAGGCTCAACTGAAGCTGGTGTAAGTTTAACTGAAGCTGGTGTAAGTTCAACTGAAGCTGGTGAAAGTTCAACTGAAGCTGGTGTAAGTTCAACTGAAGCTGGTGTAAGTTCAACTGAAGCTGGTGTAAGTTCAACTGAAGCTGGTGTAAGTTCAACTGAAGCTGGTGTAAGTTCATCTGAAGCTGGTGTAAGTTCAACTGAAGCTGATGTAAGTTCAACTAAAGCTGATGTAAGTTTAACTAGTGCTGATGTAAGTTCATCTGAAGCTGGTGTAAGTTCAACTGAATCTGGTGTAAGTTCAACTGAATCTGGTGTAAGTTCAACTAAAGCTGATGTAAGTTCAACTGAAGCTGGTGTAAGTTCAACTGAAGCTAGTGTAAGTTCAACTGAAGCTGGAGTAAGTTCAACTAAAGCTGGTGTAAGTTCAACTGAAGCTGGTGTAAGTTCAACTAAAGCTGGTGTAAGTTCATCTGAAGCTGGTGTAAGTTCATCTGAAGCTGACTCAGGTTCACCTGAAGCTGGTGTAAGTTCAACTGAAGCTGGTGTAAGTTCAACTAAAGCTGGTGTAAGTTCAACTGAAGCTGACTCAGGTTCAAGTAAAGCTGACTTATAAATTAACATCTATCATGATGAGAGACCAGATGAAATCTTTGACAGTCTCTCAATCTTGAGTGTGTACAAGGATGATGAGTTAAGAGTATGGACCTAGAGGCAATGTTCACCTATGTTAATCATTGGGCCAACATCACTCAAAACAAATTCAATTCATGGTATTTTCAAACCTGCATAGAACACCACTATGATCATATCGAATTGAAGGACACTCTAATCTGGGATACAAAGTGAAAGAACATAAGACACTAGACCATGAGACCATCCTCCACATGGGTAACGTGTTTGAGTAGCTTGACAATGGTACAACAATCTGTATCGAAACATTGCACTCACGAAATAAAGAAGTTGTTATTCATAAAGTTTGTCTATACTCAACTGGGGTGTATATTTGTGATGATTTTTTATTTAGAATTTCAAGACAAACAAGACTTTTCAGGGTTTTTTCTCTAAAAACAAAGTCACCAATGATGTTTTCTTCTTATTTGGACACACATTCCATCTGGAATCCACTTTATACTTTTATAAAATTATTTGTTTGAAGTATTTTCTGGAACAAATTATTTTTACAAAAACCAAACTTACTCCCTCCTCCTCTTCCTCGATGATGTCTTTACCAATTGATGACAGCGACGTCCACTTGCAGTCTGTAGGAGCACGGACTGCACATCGCTTATGAGCTTTGAATTTACAAACTGAAAAATAAACGTAACATTGATGCTTATGATATCAATCACTGGATTGTCTGGTCCAGACTTGATTATTAATGACCTGTCTTCACACAGCAATATCTGTGAGTGTGCCATGAAAAGGACAACACACATACAAAACAGCACGATTTTTTTTAACAAAAAACCCAAAACATTTGCTAATTTAATTTTTCCCTGGTCATCAAGACTCTTCAATTCTGAATGAAGATTAGAACAATCTAGAATCTGTTTTCATGGCTAACAACATGATTCTCAACAAATGCATACGTAAACATTTACAAAACCAAGGACAATGGCTGAGATAAATTTGTCCATCAGGGACAACTATTGCACAACATGAGACATAGCAGCATCTCCCGGACAACTATTGCACAACATGAGACATAGCAGCATCTCCAGGCCGTGTCTGCCGACCAACAACATCTTCACATAGCGCCAGACACAGACATGGAGTACCATCCGACTCACGGCAACATCATCACTCGATGCTTTATATTACAACTGTCCTCATCACCATATTGGGTTGAAACAGTACAAAGAGATCACATCCATAAACTGACAGCATTATCAGGTTCTCTACGTGACAGCAGAATCCATATTCTTTGTAAACAAGACAATATCCTCAGATGATATAATGGGACTTGCACTTTAGCAACCGTAAGTTTCAGTTGTCAATCTGAAATAAGTAAGCTTTAAAATTCTTTAAAGATGGATTCCCTAATCCTGAATGAAGCTGTTTGACAATGCATGAACTGTAGACTGATACCGCACATTGAATAGTGCATACTGACTGCTTGATACTGCATTCTGTTTAGATGAATACTTAATACTGTATACTCTTTGCAAAATACTGAACACTGATTGTTGCATATTGAATAGTGCATACTGACTGAATACTGCATACTGAATAGAGCATACTGACAGATGCATATTGCATACTAACTGCTGCATACTGACTAGCGATTACTGTATTCCAAATACTGCAAGTACATGCCTAAGCTCATGAATAATCAAACTTTTGCTTTTCGTTATCCAACCAACTCTACTTTACCTTTTAAGGATCTGTGATCCAATATTTGCACCAGATTCATATTTTACCTGGATTTTCCTGCATAAACTAAATCCATGCCTCCTTAACAAAACGTTCTTTACACAACAAATAGAACAGGTAAATATTGCTTCAACCGATGCTCATCAACTCGATAATTAGTCATACATCCAACAGATCCTTTCTTTGCTCTCAAGTGACAGAAAGCTTGGCAAAACCGAGAATGTTTTTGAGAGAAATGCAGGAAAAGGTTACACCATAAAGAATGGTGTTCTTTTCTGACAAAGCATATATTTTCTTTTACAAGAAAAAGAACCTTATCTGCCACTTCCCTTCACAGACCCTTGTGACGAAGCCTTGAAGCCTTGGTGCTGTCATACAAGCCAAAAACATTCACTTTTTGGAGAGCCTACCCCACCATTAAACCTATATCAGTTCTTTATATTTGATCGAAGAAATCCATAATTTTTCAATTTTATGCAATTATGCATTTCAATGCACATCTTTTCAGAACCCTGCTGCATACCTGAACACCATTGTGCAGGGAAGGCGCTGCAATATTGCTACACCCAAAGACACTCGTGTCACTCCCTAATCACTGCCAGACTATATATATCGCCTTGTAATTTGAAGCCAAGTTGGACTGGCCTGGACAGATTATGTGTCCTTTGTGTAGTCTGACTTCTTGAGCCAACGACAGGCTTGCTCCCTGGACATCGCTGATGAAAATATCTACTGTAAAGGTCAAACCTACAAGCAGGTAGTAAGTCGGCTGGCAAGTAGGTTCGATGGCACTGCGTTTATAGCTGGAGCCAACAAGACACATGGGATCACGCTGGCAACAACAGTGTCGTTTGCCGCTGATTGAAGCACACAGATTTTTTCTAAATGTGACAAACGATTGTTTTTTACCTCCACTGAATTTGTCTTTATCTTCTTTCTGATTCTCTGTTGATGGTGGACGAAGAAAAGGAAAAGGGGGGAAAGGGTGGTTGGGGGGGAGAGAGTTGTTATCTGGTCTCTTGTTATTTCCAGTTACTGTTTATTGATTGCTAACTTTGGAGACGTTTAAGGTGTTCTTTAAAAGCATTGTCATGTTGCCTAAGCTGGATAAAATTCCTGTTAGGAGGTTATTCCCTATTGTCATGATATTTTCCAGGCTACTGTGTTATTCCCTACTTTCAAGTTACTGTGCTATTCCCTACTTTCATGTTACTATGCTATTCCCTACTTTCATGTTACTATGCTATTCCCTACTTTCATGTTACTATGTTATTCCCTATTGTCATGCTATTTACTAGGCTATTCCCTACTTTCATGTTACTATGCTATTCCCTACTTTCATGTTACTATGTTATTCCCTATTGTCATGCTATTTTCCAGGCTATTCCCTACTTTCATGTTACTATGCTATTCCAACCTTTCATGTTACTATGTTATTCCCTATTGTCATGTTATTTTCTAGGCTATTCCCTACTTTAATGTTACTATGCTATTCCCTACTTTCATGTTACTATGTTATTCCCTATTGTCATGCTATTTTCCAGGCTATTCTCTACTTTCATGATACTATGCTATTCCCTACTTTCATGTTACTATGTTATTCCCTATTGTTATGCTATTTTCTAGGCTATTCCCTACTTTCATGTTACTGTGCTATTCCCTACTTTCATGTTACTATGCTATTCCCTACTTTCATGTTACTATGTTATTCCCTACTTTCATGTTACTATGCTATTCCCTACTTTCATGTTACTATGTTATTCCCTATTGTCATGCTATTTTCCAGGCTATTCCCTACTTTCATGTTACTATGCTATTCCAACCTTTCATGTTACTATGTTATTCCCTACTTTCATGTTACTATGCTATTCCCTACTTTCATGTTACTATGTTATTCCCTACTTTCATGTTACTATGCTATTCCCTACTTTCATGTTACTATGTTATTCCCTATTGTCATGCTATTTTCCAGGCTATTCCCTACTTTCATGTTACTATGCTATTCCAACCTTTCATGTTACTATGTTATTCCCTACTTTCATGTTACTATGCTATTCCCTACTTTCATGTTACTATGTTATTCCCTACTTTCATGTTACTGTGCTATTCCCTACTTTCATGTTACTATGCTATTCCCTACTTTCATGTTACTATGTTATTCCCTACTTTCATGTTACTATGCTATTCCCTACTTTCATGTTACTCCCTAGTGTCAGCTAATTCTTGCGGACATGTTATCCCCTAATGATATTAGCCCTACAGAGATGATATTCCCTACTGATATGTTATTTCCTACAGTGATATCCTTACTGATCTGTTATTAACTACTGTGATATCCCTACTGATGTGTTATTCCTACATACAGGGCTCCAGATAAGCGCCATATCAGCGTATGTACGGATAGAAAAAATGCACGATACGGTAGGAAATAATTTAGAAAACGTAGCTGATACGCACCACAGCAATGGTGTACGGTCTTAGAATCATTTACAGACGTATTTATCTGTTTTATTGTTCATTGACCTGTTTACACAAGAGTAGCAATGTTGTGGTGCATATATGAATTGCTGATACTCCATTAAATTCCATTCAGTACTCTAAATGTACTCTCAAGGTTTTCCAGTACTCCGATTTTGAAAAAAATAAGGAATACATCCTCCTGTTGTTGAAAAATTATCTGACTGACTGAGTTTGGTTTTACGCCGCTTTTAGCAATATTCCAGCAGCATCACGGCGGGGGACACCAGAATTGGGCTTCACACATTGTGCCCATGTGGGGATTCGAACCCGGGTCTTCGGCGTGACGAGCCAACGCTTTAACCATTAGGCTACCCCACACATGCCCCTAATTTTTTTTTTATCTGTACCTATTCCCTACCGCCCCTTAAAAATTTTTATCTGAGGCCTGTACATACATGTTATTCCCTACTGTGTTATCCTTACAGACATGTTATTCCCTACTGTGTTATCCTTACATACATGTTATTCCCTACTGTGTTATCCTTACAGACATGTTATTCCCTACTGTGTTATCCCAACAGACATGTTATTCCATGCTACCATGTTATCCTTACATACATGTTATTCTCTACAGTGTTATCCTTACAGACATGTTATTCCCTACTGTGTTATCCTTACATACATGTTATTCCCTACTGTGTTATCCTTACATACATGTTATTCCCTACTGTTGTCCTTACAGACATGTTATTCCCTACTGTGTTATCCTTACAGACATGTTACTCCCTACTGTGTTATCCTTACAGACATGATATTCCCTACTGTGTTATCCCAACAGACATGTTATTCCCTACTGTGTTATCCTTACAGACATGTTATTCCCTACTGTGTTATCCTTACAGACATGTTATTCCCTACTGTGTTATCCTTACAGACATGTTATTCCCTACTGTGTTATCCTTACAGACATGTTATTCCCTACTGACTGACTGAGTTTGGTTTCACGCCGCTTTTAGCAATATTCTAGCAACATCACAGTGGGGGACACCAGAAATGGGCTTCACACATTGTACCCATGTGGGGATTCGAACCCGGGTCTTCGGCGTGACGAGCCAACGCTTTAACCATTAGGCTACCCCACCGCCCTTATTCCCTACTGTGTTATCCTTACAGACATGTTATTCCCTACTGTGTTATCCCAACAGACGACATGATCTCCTCTCACTCACACATAATATTTTTTGTACAGATTTATCTAGACCTTCATGGAGGCTAATTGTAGCCCCAATACTATGTTTAAGTACCTCTGAACTTACGAAAACCGATCACTTTAAACAAATCTGAAGTTTTAACAAAATGATGATTTTTCACCCTAACTGAATGCATGGTCATATAGTTTACAATCCTGGCTTACCCTTGAAGGTCCGGGTTAGAATGAGCCTTCAGTAACCCATGCTTGTCGTAAGAGGCGACTAACGGGATCGGGTGGTCAGGCTCGCTGGCTATGTCATCAGTTCCCAATTGCGCAGATCAATGCTCATGCTGTTGATCACTGGATTGTCTGGTCCAGACTCGATTATTTACCGACCGCCGCCATATAGCTTGAATATTGCTGAGTGTGGCGTAAAACTAAACTCACTCACTCACAATCCTGGATAAATCACTTACATTTTCTCAACACCCTATCCAAGCAAATAAATCAACAACCAGCCAAACTATCACCCTCTAAAATGTTCATAAGTATACCACATATTTCAAAAAGTTTTCGTTCTTGCTTCGTAAAGGTCAATCCTCTTGAACGCACGCAGTCCACCGATATTGATCTCATCCCTGACAGTTACCTACGATATTACACTAACAGATACTTACGTTTAATTGCTGGTATTGAATTGGTCAGGTGACCATGATCAAGTATATGAGAGCTACTTCCTGTGTGGCACAGACTGACTGTGCGTCTATTTGCTGCCATCTCCTGACATATCTGCACGCTAATGTCAACATGGGCTGGGTTGGGTGCAAGTAGCAAAGTGGTAGACAGTGACTGGGACGAACCAAAGACTGGACACACTGACAGAGTAAGTAGGGTGCCAGGCAAATGATAGAGGCAGAAGACTTTTTAGAGTACAAAAAGGGGCCAAGGAAAAGACAGAGGAAGAAGAATTTCTGGAGTACAAGAAGTGGGGCCAGGGAAATGACAGAGGACTGACTGACTGACTTTGGTTTTACACCGCTTTTAGCAATATTCCAGCAACATCACGGTGGGGACACCAGAAATGGGCTTCACACATTGTACCCATGTGGGGATTCGAACCCGGGTCTTCGGCATGACGAGCCAACGCTTTAACCACTAGGCTACCCCACCGCCCCAAATGACAGAGGAAGAAGACTTTCTGGAGTACAAGAAGTCGAGCCAGGGAAATGACAGAGGAAGAAGACTTTTTAGAGTACAAGAAGTGGGGCCAGGGAAATGACAGAGGCAGAAGGCTTTCTTGAGTACAAGAAGTGGGGTCAGGGAAATGGAGGCAGAAGACTTTCTGGAGTACAAGAAGTTGGTTCAGATAAATGATGGAGGCAGAAAACTTTCTGGATTTCTGGAGTGCAAGAAGTGGGGGTCAGATAAATGATGGAGGAAGGAGGCTTTCTGGATTTCTGGAGTGCAAGACACTGACTGTCTGGGTGGAAGAAGTAGGGATATGGACCTGAGTGATGTGGAGCTTCAGAATGTCAGCAACAAAGTACATTCAGATTAACAAAAAGTGTACTCACCTTCACAGGACAGGCCATGTGACGTGACCCCTGAGAGGGCTTCCCGGCACACATTGCAGTATGTAGGGCGTGCGTGGGAGCAGGCGTACCAGTTGTGCTGTCCTGACATCATCTCCGTGTGACTAGTAGTACCCTGCTGTGGGTGGAAGAATACACACATCATCAAGGGACAACACACTGGAAACATGAAGCTAAATAGTTGATATCAGGCTGTCCTGACTTCTCCATGAGACGATAGAACCCTACTGTGGGTGGCAGGGGGGTGGGGATTTTGGTTGTAACTAGGGTGGGGGAAGGCCAAGGTGATTGAAAGCATCTAAGGTGGCATTAGTTGAGAATTAAGGTGGAATTTCAGAGTGGGACATTTTAGGGTGGGAAAGCCACAGTGGTAGGATTTTTGGTAGGAATGTGAGAGTGGTGGGGTTTGGGGTGGGAATGTGAGAGTTCGACATTTTAGCATGGGTATATGAGAGTGGGACGTTTTAGCGTGGGAATGTGAGAGTGGGACGTTTAAGCGTGGGAATGTAAGAGTGGGACATTTTAGCGTGGGAATGTCAGAGTGGGAGGATTTTGGCCTGTCCTGTGAAGGTGAGTACACTTTTTGTTAATCTGAATGTACTTTGTTGCTGACATTCTGAAGCTCCAAATCACTTAGCGTGGGAATGTGAGAGTGGGACGTTTTAGCGTGGGAATGTGAGAGTGGGACATTTTAGAGTGGGAATGTCAGAGTGGGAGGATTTTGGGTGGGAATGTGAGAGTGGTGGGGTTTGGGGTGTGAATGTCAGAGTGTTACGTTTTAGGGTGGGAATGTCACAGTGGTAGGTTTTAGGGTGGGAATGTCACAGTGGTAAGTCTTGGGGTGGGAATGTCAAAGTGGTAAGTTTTAGGGTGGGAATGTCACAGTGGTAAGTTTTAGGGTGGGAATGTCACAGTGGTAAGTTTTGGGGTGGGAATGTCACAGTGGTAGGTTTTAGGGTGGGAATGTCACAGTGGTAAGTTTTGGGATGGGAATGTCACAGTGGTAAGTTTTAGGGTGGGAATGTCACAGTGGTAACATTTTTGGGGTGGGAATGTCACAGTGGTAAGTTTTAGGGTGGGAATGTCACAGTGGTAAGTTTTAGGGTGGGAATGTCACAGTGGTAAGTTTTGGGGTGGGAATGTCACAGTGGTAAGTTTTAGGGTGGGAATGTCACAGTGGTAAGTTTTTGGGGTGGGAATGTCACAGGGTGGGAATGTCACAGTGGTAAGTTTTTGGGAATGTCACAGTGGTAAGTTTTAGGGTGGGAATGTCACAGTGGTAAGTTTTAGGGTGGGAATGTCACAGTGGTAAGTTTTAGGGTGGGAATGTCACAGTGGTAAGTTTTAGGGTGGGAATGTCACAGTGGGTGGGGGAATGTCACAGGGTGGGGTCACAGTGGTAGGTTTTGGGATGGGAATGGGTAGGGTGGGAATGGAATGTCACAGTGGTAAGTTTTAGGGTGGGAATGTCACAGTGGTAAGTTTTAGGGTGGGAATGTCACAGTGGTAAGTTTTAGGGTGGGAATGTCACAGTGGTAAGTTTTGGGGTGGGAATGTCACAGTGGTAAGTTTTAGGGTGGGAATGTCACAGTGGTAAGTTTTTTAGGGTGGGAATGTCACAGTGGTAAGTTTTAGGGTGGGAATGTCACAGTGGTAGGTTTTAGGGTGGGAATGTCACAGTGGTAAGTTTTGGGGTGGGAATGTCACAGTGGTAGGTTTTAGGGTGGGAATGTCACAGTGGTAAGTTTTAGGGTGGGAATGTCACAGTGGTAAGTTTTAGGGTGGGAATGTCACAGTGGTAAGTTATGGGGTGGGAATGTCCCAGTGTGACGTAAGAGGCACTGTACAGACGGAATGAGAAAATATTCAGTATGGATTTGTGATCTCAGAATGGGGAGTATGGATCATATTTAAAAGATCCTTCCACGAACATAATCCTGTCAGTATTGACACATGACCTTCAGAGAAGTACAACATACTCGGGCCAAAGCAATTCAAATTCAATACAAAATAATAAGTGCTCACTCTGCGCCTTACAAGTACGTACTGACACAGCCCTAGAGACGCCCACACCAATGAACTGTTATAAGCAGCAGGGCAATGATCATATAGCACATACATAACGTGAATCTTTTAAAGATATACAACCGTGTGGGGGTGGAAGGGGGCGAGGATTGGGGTTGGAAGGAAGGAAGGGAGGGGAGGGGAAGACAGGGATGGATCGCAAGAAAGGTGAACACACAGAATTAAGTCATTAATCCTTACGAAAAAGGTGGTAATCATTGAGAAAACCACCCAACCAAACATTTCAAAAATCAAGGAAATGTCCTTGTGATGATAATCAAAATGTCGTTGGTCATTCCCTACACAAACCATTGTCTAACATATACTGGCTGCTCAACACACACCATACATAGATATATCATCTTGTGACATGTGCTGCATATTGTCTAACATACACTGGCTGCTCAACACACACCATACATGATATATATATCATCTTGTCACATGTCCTGCATATTGTATGACATAACATTTCACATGAGAGTAGAAATCCTGTTTTCACATTTGGTCAGATATCCAGGGTGCCATTGTACAAAACAACCTTAGCGCTAAGACTACATAAAGTCTATGTTAAAGTATGGGAGTTACGGTCACCTTAGCGCTAAGACTACCTTAGGTCTATGTTAAAGTATGGGAGTTAAGGTCACCTTAGAGCTAAGACTGCATCAAGTCTATGTTAAAGTATGGGAGTTACGGTCACCTTAGAGCTAAGACTACCTTAGGTCTATGTTAAGGTATGGGAGTTACGGTCACCTTAGAGCTAAGACTACCTTAGGTCTATGTTAAGGTATGGGAGTTACGGTCACCTTAGCGCTAAGACTACTAAGTCTATGTTAAGGTATGGGAGTTACGGTCACCTTAGCACTAAGACTACTAAGTCTATGTTAAGGTATGGAGTTATGGTCACCTTAGTGCTAAGACTACTAAGTCTATGTTAAGGTATGGGAGTTATGGTCACCTTAGCGCTAAGACTACCTTAGGTCTATGTTAAGGTATGGGAGTTACGGTCACCTTAGCGCTAAGACTACTAAGTCTATGTTAAGGTATGGGAGTTACGGTCACCTTAGCACTAGGACTACTAAGTCTATGTTAAGGTATGGAGTTATGGTCACCTTAGTGCTAAGACTACTAAGTCTATGTTAAAGTATGGGAGTTACGGTCACCTTAGAGCTAAGACTACTAAGTCTATGTTAAGGTATGGGAGTTATGGTCACCTTAGTGCTAAGACTACTAAGTCTATGTTAAGGTATGGGAGTTACGGTCACCTTAGCACTAAGACTACTAAGTCTATGTTAAGGTATGGAGTTATGGTCACCTTAGCACTAAGACTACTAAGTCTATGTTAAGGTATGGAGTTATGGTCACCTTAGTGCTGAGACTACTAAGTCTATGTTAAGGTATGGAGTTATGGTCACCTTAGTGCTAAGACTACTAAGTCTATGTTAAGGTATGGAGTTACGGTCACCTTAGCGCTAAGACTACTAAGTCTATGTTAAGGTATGGGAGTTACGGTCACCTTAGCACTAAGACTACTAAGTCTATGTTAAGGTATGGGAGTTACGGTCACCTTAGCGCTAAGACTACTAAGTCTATGTTAAGGTATGGGAGTTACGGTCACCTTAGCACTAAGACTACTAAGTCTATGTTAAGGTATGGGAGTTACGGTCACCTGAGCGCTAAGACTACATAACGTCTATGTTAAGGTACGGTCACCTTAGTGCTAAGGTTGCTTTGTACAATGGCACCCAGATCTATAATAAATGTCTGGTGGTGCTACAGAGCCAATACCTATGGTCTAGGATGCCTAGTCTTACACGGTTGACAAACATCTAATCAGCATCGTTTCTCCTGTTACCATCATTGTCACAAGGCATCAAATAATTAACCAGGGCATAGATTTTCAAAGCTCTCTTAGAGCTAAGATAGTCGTAAGTTAATGTCAATGTATGGCACTTACGACCATCTTAACATAAGGACAGCTTCGAAAATATAGATATTCGACACAGTAATATTTCAATACTGTACAAGTAGATATTCGACACAGATATATTTCAGATCTGTACAAGTAGATATTAGACAGTAATATTTCAATACTGTACATGTAGATATTCGACACAGATATATTTCAGATCTGTACAAGTAGATATTAGACAGTAATATTTCAATACTGTACAGGTAGATATTCGACACAGATATATTTCGGATCTGTACAAGTAGATATTAGACTGTAATATTTCAATACTGTACAAGTAGATATTAGACAGTAATATTTCAATACTGTACAAGTAGATATTCGACACAGTAATATTTCAATACTGAACAAGTAGATATTAGACAGTAATATTTCAATACTGTACAGGAAGATATTCGACACAGTAATATTTCAATACTGTACAAGTAGATATTAGACAGTAATATTTCAATACTGTACAAGTAGATATTAGACAGTAATATTTCAATACTGTACAAGTAGATATTAGACAGTAATATTTCAGATCTGTACTTGTAGATCTGGAACATACAACTTTAATGCACCCTACCTTAACATCCAACCATCATCCACCCTTTCCAACACTGGAGCGCTTCCACAGCGTGTATATATTGTGTGGGTCGCGTTAGTGCAATAATGCTCGGATAATAAGCAAACTCCTCAGCACTGCAGGATCCCCATGCAGGGCGTGGTCACAATCCCCCACATGGCTTGCTAGCAGTAATGGAATAGCAATACATGCACGGCGGTCGCAGCGTACAATCTATTTTGAACCATGTTGTGCATTTCACATCATGCTCACTGAAACAATTTTATGATGGATGACTGATGCAAATATCAACAATGGAATCAATATTGTTGTAGAATTTGCAAATGCATGCGATTTTATTCAACTACAAAATGCATGTTGACACTGAATTGAAACTATTGGGGTGCGCATGTAATGTTCGAACTAGTTTGTTGTATATGGATTAACACTCACTACAGCCTGCAGATCAAGCTCAGCTTTGAAGTTACAGTTAACAATATGTAAAAAGCAAAATGAAATTATTAGTCTAGGCAGA